GATTATGTAATCATCACAGAATTTTTGTAATTTTTGTTAAACCTATTTTTTGTTAGGTATTCATCTAAATTAGAACTTCCTAGAATATCTTTGAAAAAAAAAATTATTTTCATAATTAAAATTAAACAAATTAATGTCAAATTGTGACGTACGGGACATCACACTTTGGAACCTACCTCATTTGCATAATTGATTAACTTTGAAAGTTTTTATATTTTTTTCCTATTTTCTAGTATGATGGTCTACATGTCCTAAAATATTTAATTTTGAAAAAATAATTCAAACGAGATACAAAAATAAAAATGTAATGTCCCGTACGTCACACTAATTAACACAAATCAAAGTTCGTGACCTTGGCATTCTTCGTATTTTGATCATTTTTCATTTTTTTTATCAGATTCATAAAATTCATAGTTTCAGCTTTAAAATGATGTATAGTTTGTTAAATATATATAAAGATGAAATTTGACCCCCAGAGGGGACAATAGCTTGGACCTGCCCTATAATATCTTGCAACCCCACTACATGAGTAAGTTCTAACCTTCTTTGCAGCATCTTATTTTCGTCAAATCAAAGAATGAAATCAGAGATAGCCCATCGTTTCCCCCGAGACACCTGGCACTTAAATCCTTGCCCCATACTCCTACTGTACTTGTATTTATTGATTCACTATCGATTGGCATCCATGCCATGGCAATCTTATATTTCCTTATGTAATATTCACTTTTTTCCCCCACATTTTATAAGCAGGGCCACAGAATACAGTGTACATTAAATGCATTGCGCCTTTTTAATAGAAACTGAGGTTTTTTAAAAAGTGATGTGAAGCTCTCTGAATGAATAGGAAACTACAAAATAGTAATTTTGTTGAATAAGGTCACATGTTGTGTATTGCTCCATGTGAATGAAAACAAATAATAAAGGGTATCTACAAATTTAAAGTCTACCAATGATTTTTGATGAATTGTAGTGTAAATATCTACACTTGTACCTGTCATAGAAGCCCTTTATATGTAGGCCTACATGTGTATGTTCATTGTGGAAGTATCACAAATGGTGAAGATATTAAATTGATCACAAACGTGCAAATGTACACGTAAATACATGACACTTTTCATATAAGGGGTAGAAGGGGATTAGATGTGGATTAAATCCGGACTTAGTCGGGACCCAAAAGCTATTGTGAACGCTATCAGCATCTCTCAACCTGAACTTGATTTTCTGTTATTTTCTCCTTCAACATTTACTAATGTTATTGTTTGTGTTTATCATATTATCTTTCCTTATGTTGTTCTTTTGTTTTTTCCTAACACTTTCCCTTTTATTTTTCCTTATGTTATCATTTGTTTTATGCTACTGTCATTTTCTCCTGTATATTTCCCTATGTAATTCTTTAATTCTTTCTCTTCTGTCATATCTTCTTTTCTTGTTATTCTTTTTTCTATCCTCCTTTCATTTTCTCTGCCATTTCCTAATCTTTCAGTTTGCCTCTATCCTTCTATCATTTTCTTACGTTATTCTTTTTGTATCCTTCTATCAGTATCTCTTCTATCTTTCATTTTTTTTCCATTCTTAATATCATATCATCTTAAATTATCCTTCTATCATTTTTTCTATCTTTCTTTTTTTATTCTTTGTTTCTATCCTTCTATCAGCGATTTTTTCATCATTCCTCATGTTCTTCATTTTGTATCCTTCAATCATTTTCTCTTTCTATATTTACTCACGGTACTTTTTTTCATGTGGCTATCATCTTCTCTTTTTTTAATTTTCTTTGTTATTCTTTGTTATTATACTAATATTATATTCTCTTTCTATCTTTCTGTACTGTTTGCCTTCTGTCCTGTTTTCAAAAGCTCTGCAATCTGTATTATCTCTTGATATACAGTTCATGTAATACACAAATGTCATGCAGTCTTGATGCTGTTAGTAAGAAGGCGAGCAGGATTTAGGGTGCAAATCTATTGGTCCAGACTTAAGGTTGCTTTGGGTACAAGGAAATGGAAGTTGGCAAGTAAGAGGATACCATATTCATAATTCTCCTATCCAATCGAAAGAAGACCCTGATTCTATTATTAGTAAAGAAAATAATGAGAACAAAATATTTTGTCAGTCAGTTTTAACATTTATTTACATTAATATGATTTGTATATCAAAGTTGAAAATGCTTGAAAATGGAAATTGTTTAGAAAAATACTGACATAAAAATTGTCGTTATAAATTCTCATGGGGTTGTAATTACATTTTCTGCGATTTTTCTATGGTAGACCGATGCATGTTCTAATAATGTTTAATAATAATGTTTTATTTACCCAGGGTAGCCACTTCAGTTATGAAACTGCTCTTCCAGTGGGCCCTGCATAACATAATATATTACTACCCTTCTCCAATCTAATATGCTGAGCGCGTAGCTAGAAGGCAGAAGGTCCCATTGTTATAAGTCTTTGGTATGACTCGGCCGGGGTTCGAATCAACGACCTCCCGTTCATGAGGCAGGCGTTCTAACCACTGAGCCAACATGCCCGGTTTATCTTGTTTACTCGTTAAAGCCCTAAAACCTTATACAAACAGTTTGTTTGCTTGTACAATACTATTTAGTATTATATTGAAAATTATAAGAAATTATATACCTCACTTAAGTAATCCAGCAATCTGATTGGTCGAAATTGCATTCATAAACTTTAACTGTTCCCGAAAATTCCCGGTAACCATGGTTAAAAAATAGTTCAAAATCCCAATAACCATGGTTATTGGGAAAATAGGTCAGTCTCCATGGTTACCCCATAGGTTTACATGTTAAAAAATGGTCTGAGCGATCGAGGATACCGTACGTGTGCGAAGAATTGGTCGGTAATTTCAATACAATTGAATCTCGATCGATCTTACCGACAATTTTATCTTGCATTGTTGACATGAAGACGAAAATAAACTTCCAAAAACAAAAAAACAACATCTGCCGATAGATCTTGATCTAAGTTCGTGCCAATATGCATTGCAAAAGTAAAAGAAGGGCCCGTTTAATGGAGCAGCGGCGAAGCATCGACCACGCGAAGCCGTTTTCAATTCATTTTAATGTATATATTAAAGAAAGCTACTGTACATGGTGACATAGCGCGCTGGCCGAGTGGTTTGAGGCGCTGACTTTGGTAACATCACCTTAGGTACGCAAGAGTTCGAATCCCATCTTCGACAAAAGTTTTTTTTTTTTTTTTTTTCTTTTTTTTTTTTCTTTTTTTTTTGGCATATAAAAGTATTAATGACTGCTTTAATATTCGAGAAATAGTTGTTTTTATACGCTCTCGGGAAGGTTACAATTGGGCTATTCCCCTCGGCACGCCTCGGGTAATAGCACAATTCTAACCTTCCCTTGAGCGTATAAAAACAACTATTTCTCTCAAAGCAGTCATTAATACTATACTGTCAGTTAAATGAGAGCTTGAAGATCAAGAATAAAGGTTTTGAATAAATAGTTTTCAGGTTCACATTTTCGCTGCCCATAGACTACATGTAACTTAAAGGGAAAATCAGTTTTGGAGATGCCCCCTCTCAAAAAATGAAATGGAAGCACTTATTACCAATCATGTGAAAGAATATGTTTTGACTAATACGTGATGATACAAATTTTGCCAAGAAACTGCCTACTAATTGATATATTTGGTAAATTATTATATCTACTTGGACCTGATAGATATCGCACACATGTCGCACATGGGCAATTCCACGGTAACGGAAGGACACTCAGACAAGATTTTTGAACTTCAGGTTTATACTAAAAGAACTGTTTTATTAGTATAAGATGTGAAACAGTACAGATATAATACCTATATAAGTGCCTTTAATTCTCCCCCAAAAAATTGTCATTATAGTTAAGTAGTTTAAGAATGTGCATATTAATTATCTCGGTAACGGAAGGACATAAAAATGGACATGGTTTTTCCAGTTAATTAGTGTTTATCCAAACTTTGTGAAGTTGATGAAGCTTTCCACTTGACTGAAACACATTTTGTTCCCCATAGTTTAATACATACTAATAAAACATTTCTTTTAGTATGAACCTGAAGTTCAAAAATCTTGTCTGAGTGTCCTTCCGTTACCGTGGAATTGCCCACATGTGTCGCGTAGTCCCATATACATCTTTCTGGGTACACTGCTCGAAAACTTTACCAAAATTGGGCCAAATTTCTTATCATTTTGATGATTCCAGAACCTTTCAGTACACACCAATACTTATATGCTAGATGATCAACCTTTTTTGATCGATTCCACAACGTTTCTTTCACAATGCAATCGCATGACCATAACTGGTCTTTATCTTTAAAGTTGCCTTGAGATTGGCGTTCTAAAAAGATATGACGTGTTTGTAGCCGCGACAAGGAATTGTCACGGAAGTTGTCAATCATCTTGGCACAGACAAACACTTTAATAGCGGACAAGTTGAGCGACAGCAGCGAGATTCGTTGATTTTGTAGTTATGACAGTTTTGAGAAACAACCCCATGCCATGGACACCAAAGACAATTAATGCTTTTTGTTGACATAAATTATAGATAGATCTAGACACAACTTTTAGATCTAACAGAAATTAAGTTAGATAATATTTTTACTTGTTAGAGTTCCAATTCATATTACTAATGTCTTAGACCTCTACAACAACATTTTTTATATTTTCCAAATGAAACCAACAAAAAAATGTTGACAAAATAATTATAAACAAACTTTTGAAAGATTATTACTTTTATTAATATTCTTCTGACATTCAATGATTATTCATCAACAATCTTCACAAAGACAAAGTAAACAGTCTATTTGTTTAACTTAATTTTTTGGATGTTTAAAAATGTTTTTATTTTGTTTTGCTTTAAAAAAAAAAAAAAAATCAGACAGGTCAAGGACTACTCGCTGATTTAGAAAACAAATTAAAACATGGAAATTACAGTTATTCAGTGCATATCCACAAATACGTCGGCTAAGATTGAGAAATATATCAAAAGAAAATGTTACCCTCGAAAAAGAGTTAGATCTGCATGGTCATGAGTGCTGTTGCCCGTTGCTGCAGCAGCCGCCGCTGGACCTTCTGCCATTTTCTTAGCCGGTACACGCCTACTTTTGACGCTTACGTAGCCCGTTCGAGATGTGGGAGGTGTCCGCTCTCAACTCCGATCCCCGATTCTTCACCAACTCTCCGACTTTTTTCTTGAAAGGAAGACCAACTCTTCTACCGTTCTCGTTATTATGAAGAAGTTATGAAATTTTGATCAACAATCAAAGTGTTGGATTGATGAAGTATCCGTGAAGATCGTGCGAAATATCGAAAAACATGGACCATTTACAACAAAACAATGTTAGTAAAGTCAGCGCCGGAATTTTCGATTGACTTTTGCCTGTCCACAAAATGAACGATGAGGGTGCTCTAACTCTAATGTTAAAAAATTCACATCGAGAGAAAAAAATCCTAGTTATGAATAATATTTTTATAAGTTGTAATCACTATTTGCTGAAAGGGTAATACTCTGTGATGAAGTGGCGGACCCCATATCCGTTTGCCCCACCACGCAACATTTCTAAAATTTCAAAAGTCAAACATGTATGACTCAGCAGGAGGGTCTTTTCCCGGTCTTTTCTCTTTGGAGAACCTATAATAAACTTGCTATTCATGATAAATTTGAGTAGTGCCCTATAAGGAAGAAGGCACTTAAGAGGAAAACAAACATTACTGATATTTTTGTACGTGACAAACGGGAGAGCGATCCGCAACTACGTCACAATCCACTAACCAAACTGCCATTTTGAGATTAGCATAGACTTAATTAGACTCATAATTAGAACATTCATAAATTTCTTATTATAATGCCTAATTTATTTCCAACTTTCACAGTTCTGCATATCATATTTTTCTACTTTCATAAGACTGAATTTATTACAAGGATTGGATTGTATTGTCCTTTATGACAGTGCCGTAAATTTTTATCTTTTCCACTCCCTGTTTTTCCGGACAAAGTTCACATCGTAATTAGTAGAAAAGAAAAAGCGACCCTGCCCGATATTCCTTTTGTAAATCCAAAGACAAAAGTACCTCCATTATCCACTTAAAACAAAAATAGTCAAAGTATAGGTTTGGTTAGATCAGGTTAGGATTCCGGCAATACAAATAAACCCACGTTATATATTTATATATTTTAATTGTACAGTTTATGTTTGTAAACAAAACTGAAGGGAAAGACAGAGAGATCAGTCAAAGACTTGGAGGAAGAGATATTAACTGCATGTCCCGCATTTACCCCCCCCCCCCCCCCCCCCTCCACCCGTGGCCCAGAAAACACCGCTTGTGCTCGTATAGTAAGGCAAAAGGACTTATAATACACGCCATGAACATTCTTTAATATATCAACAATAATGATTTTTAAATCTTTATAGCGCACAATGTATGGTGCTCTATTATAAAGGCGCCCCGGCTGCGAATTTTTTTTCCGTACTCGAGAGAGCAAAAATCCCATGTGCGCATGCGCGTGGACTTATGATTTCTCTGCTACTTCCCATACGAAATGTACATGTATTCGCATGTACTGTGCACGATTCGCGTTCTACGAGTAAACGATGGCATAGTAGTCTTCAAACACAGACTCTGATTTGCCAGTTTGACAAATCAATATGCGTATGTGTCGCGATGTGCTTATTCAAGTCTGTGTAGTTGTATGATTCAGACCCAGTAGTGCATATGGAAATACATTGCAACTTGTATAGAATGGTATAGTAGTCTGCAAGCACAGACGCTAATCTGACAGTTTGACAACATACTAGTAGTGTGCTGAGAAGTACTTTATTCAAGTCGCCAACTTGTATAGAATGGTATAGTAGTCTGCAAGCACAGACGCTAATCTGACAGTTTGACAACATACTAGTAGTGTGCTGAGAAGTACTTTATTCAAGTCTGCGTAGATGTATGATTCAGACCCTACTGGTGCGTGCGTTAGAAATGCATCTCAATGTGTAGAGTGTAGTATAGTAGTCTGCAAGGACATAATAACACGCACCAGTAGGGTCTGAATCATAAAACTACACATATTTGAATATAAAGCACTACTCAAGACACTATGTTGTCAAACTGTCCGATTAGCGTCTGTGCTTGCAGACTACTATACCATGCTATTCAATTTGGGATGCATTTCTGTAAGCACTAAAATGTCTGAATCATACAACTACTCAGACTTGAATACTAGTACTATTGCTACGCACGATATATGCGTAATTGTTTTGTCAAACTGGCAAATCAGAGTCTGTGTTTGAAGACTACTATGCCATCGTTTACTCGTAGAACGCGAATCGTGCACAGTAGATGCGAATACATGTACATTTCGTATGGGAAGTAGCAGAGAAATCACAAGTCCACGCGCATGCGCACATGGGGTATTTGCCCTCTCGAGTACGGAAAAAAAATTCGCGCCCCGGCTCAGCTATAATACCGTTTCCAATGCTCAAAGCATTCAAGGCTATTGCTTCCTACGTATACCGGTACTTGATTAAACACCTGGGTGGAGACAGGCAAATGTATACTTTGCAAACGGTCAGTGCTTAAAATAATGGACTTGACTATAGCTAATTACCATTCACAGTCCAGCGACACAACCCCTCCCCGTCTCTCTCTCTCTCTCTCCGACTTTGGATCACCTTAAGTTGTTTCTGCTTTAAGGGGCAATACTCCGATAGCCCAGGGAGATGTCAGTTATGTCCCTGGATAGCCCAAGCGTACTTAAAAAAAAAAAAAAATAGTCCCGAAAATTTGGTTCAGTTGGGGGCCTGGGGGGGGGGGGGGGGGGGGGGGGGTAAGGTCACCTTTTTTGGTCACCCTTTAACACTTTTTTTTTTATTTAAAAGGGGGGATCCTCCAAAACACACACTGCGTGTACGCGCCTGGCCCGGGCCCCACTCCCCACGGAGAGAGGGACAAAGATATAAATTAATGTTTAAGAGATAGCATAATTATTTGCTCTCTATTTTTCTGTAAGGCCAAACACTACTGTTTCCATGCTGGTTGACCCGTCCCCCGTCATTGTTATGCAGTAAACCAGCATTGTTATGCTAACAACGCTGAGTAGGGCCATCCCTCCGTCAGTTTCTTTTTTAAATTTTTTTTTTTTTTAAATGTGTGTTTATGATTGTAAATATATATACATATATGTTGATGTATTTTTTGAATGATGGAAAATAAATACAATACAATACAATACAATACAATACAATTCAGCGTCGAAGAGTGGATCGATGAGATTCAAGATTGGGTACGTCCCGTGGCCGGGGGGGGGGGGGGGGGGGGGGGTTGAAAATCACACATTCTGTGGAAGCATAGTAAATACAGCTCACCAATCCCAACTCAGCCTTGACATTATATTTAGTCGGATTAAATAAAAAAAAATCATGTAGGCCTATATAGTTATCATGATTTGATCCCCCGGTTTGGTCAAAGAAAATATTATGAAGCATATAGGCCTATGCTTGATTTAGCAATTCAGATTTTTTAAATTAATAAACACAGTTTGACATTGAAAATTAACCTATGTTGGCTTTTCAAGTCATAACGAGGCTCTAAAAAGACCCGCATGAATAGGGCAAAATAAACTTTGGCCGAAATACAGTTCTATGGCCCCACCATAGAGATATATACTTAATTTAGTAGTATATATCTCTATGGGCCCCACCCCTAAATCTGCGATGATAACAAGATCACGTGTTTTGATCATAATGATCACATGACATAGTCTGGATCGAAAAATGGCAAGAATCCTTCAAAGTTCTGCTGTAATTTTGGCAGTTTTGCTGCCTTTAGTGACTGGTCTTGGCTTATTTAAGCACGGAAGACCAAAACATGGAATGCTTGGAGCACCACTGGCAAAGGAGAAGTACAATCTTCCACCTGATATGTGGTTTAAACAAAAGTTGGACCATTTCAATGATGCCGATCTCCGAACATGGAATCAGGTACGTGCAACAAGCGGAAGGCTGTGGAAAGAGAACGCCCGGAGCTTCGGGGCAGGGAAGCAGCTTTCCGCTATTGCTAGTCAGCACGCTGCTAGCTGGGCCTGGGCTCGGGCTTTCCTCAGTTTTACTTTTTGGTTTGTATAATATAATCAAACAATCTATGTGTTTAAACTGATATGTAAGGGGGTCACTATAGATAATCAACATATTTCCAAATTAATATTAAACATTTAGATCTAATGTGCATATTATGCAAATTAATCTCCACCCAAGGGAAAATTCAGGGAAATACCGGTAAGTTGTATTTTCGGCCATATTTTCTTCATAAAAGTGCATGTAGCTCAGGGCTCAAATTAATTTTTTGTCCACGGGGGCTCTTCCCCCGAAAAAAGAGCCCCCGTGAGCCTTCTCACGGGGGCTCTTTTATTACTGACGGGGGCTCTTTTTTATACAAATATCCATTGAATTGGTACCTATGATACTCCTCAATTATTTGCTATTTCATCATTATCATTTCAATCAGCATTTTCCCTCTTACAAATTTACAAGCTACATAGCTGTTACTGGCCTGTGTATTTAATATATACGCATACAACACTGATCTTTATGATGTCTTTAACGTGACATATCTTCTTCTCCCCTTGCAAACGAAAAAGAAAACATGGTCATTAAAAGGGATTAAGCGACAAATAATGATTGTGATTCAAATTGATGCGAATATTTGTTTGAATAAGCACTGCTATTCACCCGAATCTTCTTTGTAAAAACAACTTTTACAAATCTCAGCCATGCTTACTGAGTTGAGACGTTCCATTCAATTTAAAATACCCATTACATAATACACTTCTCCTAATCTCAAAGTGATCTTACAGCACAGTGGCAGAATTGCATGGCTGAGATTTGTGAAAGTCGTTTTTACAAAGAAGATTCTGGTGAAAAGCATTGCTTATTCAAAAAAAATCCTTGATTATTTTTTGCATGGTCCTTTTTATTAAATAACCTTGTTTTCTGTTTTGTTTGCAGAGGGAGAAGAAGCTATGTCACGTTAAGAAATCATAAAGATCAGTTGTATTATGCGTATATACATACACCTGTATGATACCAGAACAAATGTTGATTATCAGAATGTCATTTTGGAATACCTCTATACAAATACCACATTGTCTTTAGCCCGTATCAGTATTAGTATGATCCAATATAAAGCTTTTATTCTTTATTTAATTCAGTATAATGCTTTTCCTCAAAAATAGTTTTGCTATTTTTTTAGGGTTGAGACGCTAAGAAATGGTTTCAAATGTACATTACACGAACCCTGAACCATTGCAAAATGATGGTGGTTCTCTCTCTCTCTCTCTATTTTAATCATGCATTATCAACTACATATAAAGCCGCAACCAAAAACTTAGGGTTATCTGAGATAGGTGAAAGTAAGAGTTAAAAAAAAAGTCATGCAAAACGGCGCTTCACTTCCCCCCGCCTTCTGAAAAAAAAAAAATAGATTAGTAGTCCTCCTCTCCAGAATCCCCCTCCCCCCCCCCCCCGCTTTAATATCACATTTTCACTTGGCAGCCCAAGGGGGCCGGGGGGGGGGGGGGGGGTGGGGGGGTGGGAGGAGGGGATTAAACCCCTATTTGCATTTCGTTCCCCCCGGTCATTAACAGAAATCGCCGCCCCTGATTTCACGACATTTTGGTCTTCCTCTTCTCCTCAAAAGGGACTTTTAGATTTGCGTGGACGTGGACGTGTTACGTCCTTTTAAGGCACTAGCTGGCAATCACATGTGACATCCTTTTAAGCACTGGCAGTGCCTTAAAAGGAGGTCACACGTTGCAGTCCACGTTCTCATCGTGCAAATCTAAAAGTCCCTAATATTGATTTACTGGTCGAGGTTCATTATTTGCTGACAACGAAAAACTTCTCCAGGCCATGACCATGTTTCTGCCCTTGCCCGATCGCCTCCAGCTCCAGCAGACATGGCGCGGCAGCGTGCACACGCACCGCTACTAATGGCGCAGTAGGCCTATAACCACTGCTGACGGCGGCACTGCACTGCGAGCTGAATCGGTAATAATAGGCCTACTCATAAAACGAGAAATCTTGCACACTAATCTTAGTTCCATTTCATTGGTTTAAGGTTTGAAAATTGAAACTCAATATTGTGTTAAAGTTATAACAGAAAAGATTATCTTTATTTTATAATTCCACCGGGGCGATTTTTAATTTTGCAATCGCCCCCGTGAGCAACCTGACGGGGCCGATTTTGTAGCTTACGGGGGCGAATCGCCCACCGCCCCCGTGTATTTCAGCGCTGATGTAGCTACCTGGGGTGGGGGGGGGGGGAGGGGGTGTACTCAGATTTGGTTCAGACAGGGGTGTGCCGCTGAAGCCTCGAAACCCCTACCCGTTTTTAAGGGTCATTTTAGGGGATTTTTCTCGAAGCAAAGCCCATTTTTCGCAATTTAAATTGCGAAAAAAGGGGAAAGAGGACCCATGTTTAGGGACATTTTCAAAGTATTAGAGTCTGTATAAAACTTTGCCTTTTATCAACTGGTCAGAACAGATAATGGTTGCTCTTCTACATAATATCACAGTGAGCACATATATGCCAATCGATTATATTGATACTGGTATATATACTTTATACCTTTTATACTATATATAATTTATGTAACATAATGCTAGTAATATGTATGTAAAGTAAAGAACACAATGGAAATACTAGAGCTCAAAGGAAGTACAGGTTTTTATGGTAAGTGAAAATATAATCCGATTGACATTATCAATGTCTTTTGCAGAGTATGCAACTCCATTTCCTCCTTGATTAAAAATAATCATTTCTTGAGCATGAAGAGATCAAGCACGAAAAGACATGATTAACTCATTAAAAAAAGGAAGTATGTACATATTAGTAAAATAATGTTGTGAATTTGTAATGAGTCCTTCAATGATATTAGAGAAAATCAACATTTTAAAAGAACTTTGCATGAATTCATGTTCCTTAAACAGCAGTTAAATAGATCTATACAAACATCCATGAAATAGATAAAGCAGCAGCAATCACAACCAGAAGTGTCCCGGTCAATGAATTCACCGTTCATGATTTTCTAGTTTCTTCTTCAGGTTTTAGATGTCCGGCAGTCTTTCTCCATGTCTGATTCTTAGTGTTGGGTTACCCCCTAAATACCGATAGATTGCCTGGACTATTGTTTTGCTTTTACAACCAGGCTCATTTGAAAAGGACTCAAGCAAGTTAAAGGCCCACTGTACTACTTGTAGCTACTTGCTCCCTCTATATAGAAAACAATGTCTAATCGGTGACCATTGGTCTCCCATGATCCTCTTTTTCTTATGTTAATTGAGAGCTGAGTTTATGAGATAGCCACCTGTCAGTGACCTTCCTGGGTGGTCCAGTCCCTCTAAGCCAAACTATTACAGACGGCCTTTAAATTCAGGCCTGATTAACACAATTTAAATCTTTTTTATTTTTCCTGATTTTATCCCGATTTATTTTTTCTTCCCGATTTACAAAAAAAAAAAAAAAAAAATCCAGATTTTTTTTTTTTTTTTTACTATTTTTTTTTCTTCCTTATTTTATCCTGATTTTCCCCGATCCCTCTTATTTTCTCTATTCTTCCCTATTTTCTTACTCAAAAGGGGGGAATGTTGTTAGATGCCATTTTTCCTCGCGAATCCTCTTTTTTTTTTTTTACTCAAGGGGGGTGTGGTTGAGGGGAAAACAAAAAACCTATTTTTTTTTTAGTGCTCACTATCACCCCTGTAAATTTTACATGTTTTTTTAAATTTCTTCCTACCACCCCCCCCCCCTTTTCCTAATACAGCGCTTCTTCCTCAATGGCACATTCTACACCCCTGGAGGACCTGTGTTCCTGATGATTGGAGGGGAGGGCGAGGCAAACCCTGTCTGGATGGTGGAAGGGGCATGGATGGAGTACGCCAAGGAGATGAAGGCATTCTGTATCATGGTGGAACATCGCTTCTATGGCAAGAGCCATCCTACAGAGTAAGCTACATTGTACAGTGCATCCCAGAAAAAACGAAACCAAGAATTATTGATGTTGTATCATAACTTAATCACAACTATAATTAATAAATGACATGTATTTGTAAAGCTTAGATCCTCCTCTTTCATTTGATGCAGCTCATATGATGCATATGTCATGATGAGTGATTAAAGACAATTTGAAGAAAGGGTACCAAAAAGTAATTTGGCAAACAGTGTATCTGAATTTCAAAGAGAAAATCACATTTCTAGAAAGATCATTTTTTGCCCTTTCATATGACACCTCAATCAGGAAAAAAGATCCAGGAATAACAAAATTCTGTTTGTTTAAAGTAATGCTTGCATTTTCATAATTTTATTAAACAAATTTGTTTTCACTGGCTGCCTGCCATAGCAACAAACAACAAACTCCGTTTTGTTGATGATTAACCATGCATGAAGACTTTCGTCTTCTTTGTTGTTAGGGCTAACAACATGTGATATATGCAATCTGCATACAAAGATTTATGCATTCAATTTGATTCGCAGGAGTATGCCATATCAATCGTAATTTTATATTTTTTGATGATTTTCAGGAACATGAGCGTAGATAACTTGCAATACCTGAGCAGTGAACAGGCCTTAGCTGACCTGGCTCACTTTCGGACGGTCATAGGTCAACAGTTAAAATTCGACACCAATAAATGGATCTCATTTGGAGGATCGTACCCAGGTAGGTCCAGTTCTTTCATTTTGATGTAAAAAAAGTGGGGGTTTGGTGAGAAAGATGGCATCATCTGCCTTTGTGGAGAGGAGCACACTTTGCAACATCTCCTAGCCTGCCCATATCCACTAGATCCTTGCACCCAAGAAGATCTGGAAGCTCTCACCCCCTGTGCGATGCAATGCATCCAACACTGGATTAGGATAATTTTAATCAAGAGTGAACGTTGTGGCATAGTGACTCAAGAAGAAGAAGATTTTTATTAAGTGTGTGCAAGCTCTCAATTGCACAATGCTTCTACTGCATGAAAGAATTTAAATGAAGTTGTAGATTTAAAAAGGAACTACCCTTTACCAAGTGCAAAATAAGATTTGATCAGCAGCTCAAAACTTAATTATTCTGTTATGGTAATACACTACACATTTGTACATAGATGTAGAACATTTGCAATATTTTATTTAGTTCACATTACCAAATTCTTGAGAGGTTTGTGAAACATGATCTTTCTGCAAAGTTCCAATTGATTAAGCTCATCTTTTTTTCAACTAGTACCATAAAAGAATTTTCAAAGGAGTATGCAACATTCCTTCGTCTTAATATAGTATGAATACAATGTATATGCCTTGTAACTTAAAGACTGTCCCCCTCATTTTACATGTTTTAATTTTGTATATTTGTTGTAGGTTCCCTATCAGCCTGGTTCAGACTCAAGTACCCTCATCTAGTGGTCGGAGCCATTGCAACCAGTGCACCTGTTTTAATGGTTCTATCTATTTGTTGTAGGTTCCTTGTCAGCCTGGTTCAGACTAAAGTACCCTCATCTAGTGGTCGGGGCCATTGCAACCAGTGCACCTGTTTTAATGATTCTATCTATTTGTTGTAGGTTCCCTATCGGCCTGGTTCAGACTCAAGTACCCTCACCTAGTGGTAGGGGCCATTGCAACCAGTGCACCCGTTCAGGCTCAACTTGATTTCCCAGGTAAGCTTATTTCATCAGAACTGTGATTAGCACTATTCTTGCTATCGCCAAAAACCTAAAATGCCCAGGGCCCTGTCTTACAAAGAGTTGCGATTGATTTGGATCAATCGCAACTCTTTGTAAGACAAAGTTTGCAATCTCCTTTCTCTTATGTACATAGTTGCCTCTTGGACGTAATCGCGAGCTACACCCAGGACTAACATACTTCCGCTGTATGGCGGCGCAAGCATGGTACATGTATTATTCATGCGCAATGTACTTGCATGGAGAGTTTTTAATGTCATGATAATAACAGGTCCATTTATATAGCGCTGCTACTATCTGAATAAATTCTACTGTGCTTAATACAAGGTATCATATTATTACCGTGGCTGTAGCTGACCTGCCATGAGGCGCTAAAGCATTCAAGGAATTTCTTCCTACCAGGTACCCATTTACTCCACCTGGGTGGAAGGTGGCAAATGTAGATTAATGTCTTGCCAAAGGACATCAGTGCTGCAGCGGAACTCGAACGACGAACCATGTGTTTCCAATCCAGCGACCTATCCACTAGAAATCTACGTTATTATATAATAATTATTTATTAATTTCATGCTGAGTCAATGCGATCATAATGAATATAAAAGCGTTGAAGTTATACTTTATTTAAATGGGCAAATCCTGCGTGATATACATCTTGGTGCCTTTCAGATGTTTTGCATTTTTCAGGACAAGTTCTCTATCAGCGTAATACAAAAATCAAGCCTTTATTGGGTCTAGGCCTGATAGCGGCCGCAACGCAATGAACTCTTTGGTATTTTATTCCTTTGATCTGACCGAACTCTAGCTTAAAGGCCCACTGCACTACTTGTAGCTACTTGCACCCTCTTACAACAAACAATGCCTAATCGGTGACCATTGGTCCCCCATGATCCTCTTTTTCTTATGTTAACTGAGAGCTGAGTTGATGAGATAACCACCTGTCCAGTGACCTTGCAGGGCGCTCTAATCCCTCCTGTAAACTATGGCAGATAAGCTTTAAGATGAGACTTATAAAATTCCTCTAACACCTTGGGCACATTCTCCGCTCCATTATCAGGTTCCTTCTTTGGAATTCCTTAAAACACCAACTTTTCTCTACACATACATGTATGTGCTTAGTCTATAATCTCCTCCTTCAATTTCACTCTATCTTCCACTTGCTTTTTCATACTCGGAATGGTATCATTTTTCAAATGTCATTTGCGTTGTAGTTGACCGAAGTAATAACTTCAGCTATTTTGGCTTAAAACTGCTTAGTTTCTGTAGTGATTCTGCTTTCTAGTCCTCAAATTTCTATCTAGACTTTGTTCCAAATTTTTTCTGACTGAGCATCAAGCATTTGCCAAATGGAAGGTAAAAGCTTTGACTCCTGCGAGCTGCCGCGTTGGTCCTTCCTTAATGGCCCATCCGCGCCAGAGCGTTGGCGAGCTCTCTTGGGATGTGCCATATTATTGCACGTGGTATATTGTGGAAATGGACGGAGAGGAGAGGAGAGGAGCGGCGCAGCGCGAATCGGAGAACGTCCTTACTCTACGACTCTACGGCGGTCCTTACTCTACTGTTAGATTGCCATCGTCCATTTGCTTGAGGATATGATCTGTCAGGCTCCATTCAAAGCCAGAGCCGCTGTGAAGCAACCTGTGCTTGTAAATGACCCCCCTGTCAAGGTTAACACATTATTAAATTCAATTGCAAAAGAAATAGAACAAACTGTACAAAGGTAAATATATGTACTACATTTAGAAGTTAAAAAGAAAATAGTAAAAAAAAAAAGAAGAAGAAGAAAACCGACCATTAACTAGATCAGGTATCAACCATGTATATATATGCACACACCCACAATCACATACAAACACACGAGAGCAATACAACAACAAAAGGGAAGAGGCGGGAATGAGAAAGAGAAGGAAGGGTCTACTCATTCAAGAATGACATTGCTTTACAAATGTAACGTTTGAATAGAGTTAATTTGATTAGTCAGGTGGTGCAATCGCCCAGAGTCTCCATGGCAATCCTCGACAAGCCAGCTGCAGTACGTTTGCTTGGCAGCTCTAATAAGATATGTCGTATAGTTTCATTAAAGGGGGTGTAGCTTGGCAAATACTGGTTAATGCCATCTACGTCTTCTTTTGGACAACTGCACGTAAACGAATGGACTTGATTAACGGTAGTCAGTGACTTAATCTCTACATGGTCAGCGTTTGTTAAACAGACCAAAGTTCTCCTCAAACTTCAGTTTTTCGGATATGTTGCACGCACGTGATTGCTGCGGTCACGTCGTCCATAGTCGTATTATATCCGATTGGCCCCAGAGTCAGGCCAGGGGAAAGACACTTAGTCTCGTCAGGCTACACTCCCTTTAATTTATTATCCCCATGTGCCATTATTTTCTTTTCTACATACTCAAAATGTGTGTCTTCTTTGTAGTGCACAGTCTGGTCTATTTGCTAATTCATATAATACCACCTTAAGTGCATGCCTTAACATAATTTTCTCCCCGTTCTCCTCTCCTTTATAGAGTATTTGACCGTGGTGCGTGACTCCCTAGCAACCAGTCGAGTGGGGTCAAAGTGCAATGATGCTATCCAGGCTGCTACACATGACATTGAGAGTCTCATGATGCACATGACGGGATGGGAGGCCCTCGCTAAAATCTTCAAGTAAAAAAAAAAAAATTGTTATATAGTTTACCGTACCACACTATTTATTTGATAGCTAGGGCATTGTATTAAAGGTATAGACCAGTTTTGGAAACGCCCCCCTCTGAAAAAATGAAATGGAAGCTCTTATTACCAATCATATGAAAGAATATATTTTGAATAGTACATGATAAAACAAATTTTGCCGGGTATATCGATTCGGCCTGGATAGTTATCGTGTAGTCCCATATACTGTATTTCTGTGTACAGTGCTTGATTCCAGAACCTTGCAGTACACACCAATACTTATATGCTAGATGATCAATCTTTTCTGATCGATTCCACAACGTTTCTTTCACAATGCACTCGCATGGCCGGAACTGGTCTATACCTTTAACCTTTCTATATGTTTATCTTTGGTTTGATCTGTGTACTTGGTGCTTGCCGGGTTATTTGATTCATATGAGTCACGTTTGATGAGACTTTATCACTCAAAGATTTAAAAAAAAACATATAATGGAAAAGTAGATGGATGGATAGATAGACACATAATAATAATATTCCGCTTTTATATAGCGCTTGATACAAATGTCTCTAAGAGCTTTAGAGATATATTATTAATACATATTAGGATTAATTAAGCATACATGACTATTATAGACAGGTGGATTTTTATGGAGAGAAGCTGCCAAGTGTAATTTTGAGCATGTTTAAATGCCCCTGAAACATGCATATATATATATATATATATATATATATATATGTGTGTGGACATTGCAATAAGATCAACTACTTTGCCTTTAGAGACAAAGGGAAAGATGGGTACCTGGCAGGAATTAATTCCTTGAAATGCTAGAGCGCTGTTATGGCAGCTAGGCTAAAGCCGGGGTAATAATAAATGCGCCCCGGAATAGAATTTCTAAATAGAGGGCTCTATAGAAGTGCCTATCATTATTGTTATTATTAAAGGCATTTTATCTGTCCCTTGGCACTGTCATGCATAAATTTTCTAATTCATATATTTTTTTTTGTTGCTTTGCTCTACTAGTCTCTGCAGTCCTCTGAATGGCACAAGTATGAATGATGTAGCAAACTTCTATGAAACTCTGGCTGGAAACTTCATGGAGACTGTACAGTATAACAAGGACAATAAAGCTTTTGAGGTATATCAACTTTCCTTACTTTTATCTGTTTTGTTAAATTAGAAAGATGACAAGATAGAGCAGTGAATCAGTCCAGATTTTGCATCAGTGTTTGTCCTGTAGGTTAGTTAATATGTCAGTAAACACCCCATGTCATATTGTATTTTGTCTTGTTTTTATATATCGAAAGTTGGAGAAAAAAAAGAAGAGCTTTAACACTCTGTGCCTCACAGGGTATCTGCATCTTGTCTTGGTTTTCACCAGGATAATGGATGCTAGTCTTATCACAAGATGGTTTCCAGAGTGCTCTAAAAGAGGAGAATTTTGTAATGTATTGTTAATAAAGTACTCCAACTACACCTTTAAACATCTATGTTTCAATACTTGTTACATTATTTCATTGTGGAAATGAGGTAGTGATATCGGCATTATTACAGTGGAGCCTCGTTATAAAGAGGTCTGTGAGACCATGAAAATTACCTTGTTATATGAGGAATCTTGTTGTATTAGGGTAAAAAACAAGAATATAAATAGCTGGGACCAGCAAAATCACCATGTTATAACAAATACCTTGTTATATCACTGCCCTCCAAATCAATCGCAATTCCTCCAATCAATCACAAGTTTGCAGTCTCCTATCTCTTATGTAGTTGGGATTGATATAAATTGCAAATAAGTTGCGATTGATATCAACTCTTTGTGAGACGGGGGCCCAGAGCTCTTTATATTAATGAGGTTCCAATGTACTATGTTTCATAACGGTTTATTTGTTTGCTTTTTTTTTTGCAGGGTGGAAGTAACAACACACCATCGATACTCTGTGTGACATCATGGCCAAACAAAAAACAAATTGTTAGGACCAGCAAAATCACCTTGTAATAACAGATATCTTGTTATATCAGGGCTCTTTATAATAACGTTCCACTGTTTCATAATCGTTTATTTATTTGTTTGCTTTTATGTTTTTTTTTTGCAGGGTGGAAGTAACAACATCACCATCGACACACTGTGTGACATCATGGCTAATGATTCAATAGGCACGGAGCTTTCACGTTACGCCGCTGTGAGTGCGCTGTTGAGCGATGGAGAATGCGTCGATGCGTCGTACGATAAGATGATTGCTGACCTGAGGGAGACCTCCTGGAAGAGCGAGGCTAGCGCAGGAGGTACGGACCAAGGGAGGTGTTTCACAAAACTTGTCATCAGTGACTAATGACAGTTTTTGTTATAAGCTACTGAAATCCTTGCTTCTGATTGGTTATCAGCAGATTTGTCACTGATTTTTGTCATTTGTCATTGAAAAAAGGCTTTGAGAAACGGGTCCCAGGATTGTGAAATCCTCTGTTGTGTTTAATGTCAGTCATTTTCAAGCAATAAACAGCCGTATTGAATCAGCATTTGTCTAAAATTAAACAGGAAGAGGGAATAATAACTGGGTGAAATTTTTCTAACAAAAATGAGGTTTGTGAAGAATCTGTGCCTGTAAGAATGACAAATGATTATCTCATCTACTATATTCAATGAATCATATCTGTACAATACATAGTTGAAGGAAATGCAACCTTGATAGCAAACTACTCTAGGGGAAAGCAGAAAAATCAGAGAAGTAGACTCATGAAATTTTGAATAAAATCCTTTGAAAAGTAAGAAAGTTATGAATTTATGAAACTTGCAATCACAATATGTATGGGCTCTTCAAATTGGCTGAATTTGTAATGTTTCTGTGATGTAGTGGTGGAAAACAAATTTCCCATTTGTTCCAACACATAAAATGACTAAAATTATGCAAAGCCATTGTGTTGCATGAAGCAAGCCTTCTGGTAATGGATGCCTATTGGTTTGTGCAAAATTGCATGAGTGACAAACGAGCTACCATGCAGACTGCAGAGAGGCAAGGAAAGCAACTGAAGTGTTAAAGATAAAGACCAGTTCTGGTCATGTGATTGCATTGTGAAAGAAACGTTAAGGAATCAATCAGAAAAGGTTGTTCATCTAGCATATAAGTATTGGTGTGTACTGCAAGATTCTGGAATCATCAAAATGATAAGAAATTTGACCCAGTCTTGGTAAAGTTACAAGCACTGTACACAGAAAGATGTATATGGGACTACGCACACGTGCGCATAAGAAATTTGACCCAGTCTTGGTAAAGTTACAAGCACTGTACACAGAAAGATGTATATGGGACTACGCACACGTGCGCGACACATGCGTTATATCTATCATGTCCAATTAGATAAACTAATTTACCAAATATATCAATAAGTAGGCAGCTTCTCAGCAAAATTTGTATCATCACGTATTAGTCAAAACATATTCTTTCACATGATTGGTAATAAGAGCTTGCATTTCATTTTTTGAGAGGGGGGGGGGGCGTTTCCAAAACTGGTCTTTACCTTTAATATGTGACCCGGCACCACAAAACCAACAAAAAGTCGCAACCAGCGATTCTCCGTAATCAGCTAAAATGTCAATTTAGGTGAAAAAAATAGATTTTTGTTTTTTTGCATTTTCTGAAAGAGTGGTCTTTTCTGTACCTAGTATCAAAATTTGGAAGTCTAAAACATAGTAGAAGATGTGTTTTAAACGGTTTTTCTAGACCACTTTTTTTCGCACAGCCTTCGGTCTCTTCCAAAATTTGATCACTTTTCCCGAGCGAAATTATCGTAGTCCGGAAATGGTCAGTCGTTGCTAACGGGTCGTGCTACGCGGGCTGTGATTGGTCCGTTATAGCAATCAGTGCGGTGCGCCATTTTGTTTGTATCCGCTTTCACATCCGAGTTCCAGATTTGCGTTCGTCTTATATTCTCCGTTAACGACTTCGAGTCGCTTGAGTTGTTGCATTTTCAAACTTGTGATAAAGGATGAGAAAGAGTTGTTGCATTTTAAACTTGTGATACACGATGAGAAAGAGTTGTTGCATTTTTAAACTTGTGATAAAGGATGAGAAAGAGTTGTTGCATTTTAAACTTGTGATACAGGATGAGAAAGAGTTGTTGCATTTTCAAACTTGTGATAAAGGATGAGAAAGAGTTGTTGCATTTTCAAACTTGTGATAAAGGATGAGAAAGAGTTGTTGCATTTTTAAACTTGTGATAAAGGATGAGAAAGAGTTGTTGCATTTTAAACTTGTGATACAGGATGAGAAAGAGTTGTTGCATTTTCAACTTGTGATAAAGGATGAGAGAGAGTTGTTGCATTTTTAAACTTGTGATACAGGATGAGAAAGAGTTGTGACATTCCCTAAATAATTTTGTTTTCATTTCTGTGCTTCCAAATTTATTCTCCCATAAGAGTTTTGAAATCAAGTTCTTATTGTAAACACACATTCACACTCTTGATATCATCATTTTGCTTACAGCTATCATAATTCTCCCCCTTCTTTTCCCTCTCTGTCTCTCTCTCTCATTCTTTCTATTTTTCGTTATTCTATGTTGGTGTCTTTACTGTGTGTCTCCTGCCTTTCTTTATTTTTATACCACTTTCTGGCTGGTATTTATGAATTGCTTCCATTAATTATCATCAGGATGGCTACTGGAAATGAAAGAGTAAGTCATAGTAAAAATACTTTGAACCTCCTGTGAGAAAGAAAACAGTATGGGAATTAAGTATAAAGCAAGTTCATAATGTGGTTACAAATAATTGCCCAGATGTATACAAAACAAGATAGGTGACAAGCAGTGTTATGTAAGGGGGAACAAAAAGACTCCGGGTCCACCATGAATAGGCATTGTCTAGTGCAGGTGTCTCGGCACTATGTTGCAGTTCACTTAATCTGTCCAATTACAACTCTATACATTTACAACATAATAACTTTTGAAAGACTTAAGTCCACACATTGAAACCTCAGAAACATAATGAACAGACTATGTTTGACCATCAGGCCAAATTTCAGCCTAATCTGAAAATCTCTTCATAGTGGTTGCTATGGCCTTTTGATTCACCCTTCTATTGATTTCCCTGTGGTTTGCTTGCTCCGCATGCTTGAATAGCCCCAAACTTTAAAGCTCTCTTTCTCACAATTTAATACCAGTAACCTCCCTCACCAGCTCTTTTCATTCACTAAATTGAAAGGGTTAGGAAGCTTCAATTTGGACAAGTAATATACCATTTTAATGAGGAGAACTTCTTCTTTCATAATCAGATGAAATCAGGAAAATAATTTTTGCGACTTTTTGTTGGTTTTGTGGTGCCGGGTCACATATTCTCTTTTACAGGTAGGCAGTGGACTTATCAGACATGTACAGAGTTTGGGTTCTATCAAACGACAGATACTGATCACCAGCCGTTTGGACGACACTTTCCTCTCAGGTAAATTGAAGAATGTGATTGAATCAGTGTGATTTGATATATTTTAAACCTGAAATTAGGAACCCCCAAAAGAGGAAGAAATAGTAGAATAAAAAGGGAGAAATCAGAGAGATGGTAGTCTTCATTGACCATCCAAGATATTTTTGGAATGAATTTATAAGTTCCCTGTATACACATATTCTAGAGACAATGTTTGCTTCAGCAGGAGTGGAGATGGTGCACACACTGTGTTCGGGCTTGATATGAATGTGTTGATCAATGTGATGAAAACACTCTGTAGTGCAGTAATGCATACACAGTAAATTCAATGAAATGCTTTCAAAATTACAGTTGTTTGTTAATTCTGTTATTGTTTTTTTAATTGTTTTTATGTTGTTCTTTTCTGACGTTCTTTTCTGACCTCAGTCTCTCCATTCAGATGTGTGAGGATATCTACGGCAAGCAGTTCAACAAGACGACCAACCAAGCCGGCGTAAACTTCACTAATACAAACTACGGTGGAAGGGACATTGTAGCGTTCAACATTGTTTTCCCCAATGGATCCATTGACCCTTGGCATGCCTTGGGGATCACCAAGTCTACTGACATGTACACAGCAATCTTTATAAAAGGTATGTAATGTTTTCGGGTTGTCCGTCCGTCCGTACGTACGTATGTACGTCCGTACGTCCCGTTCTTGTGATCGCGTTATCTCAAGAACCAATTGACGGATTCCCGCCAAACTTGGGTCATGTATGTATCTTACAGAGCCAATGAACTGATTAGATTTTGGGGTCGCGAGATCTTAGGTCAAAGGTCACACGACTCATTATGTATGCAAAAAAAGCTTATGATCGCGTTATCTCAAGAACCCATGGATGGATTCCCGCCAAACTTGGGTCATGTATGTATCTTGCAGAGCCAATGAACTGATTCGACTTTGGGGTCGCAAGGTCAAAAGTCAAAGGTCACAGGGCTCATTATGTATGCAAAATTAGCTCGCTTCTGTTTTGGTTTGTAAAATTGCTCCATGGCGGAGGCATCATTTTTGACTGCGCGTGGTCGAAGGTCCATCTAGTTTCATGAAGGATACGATTCCTCAGGTAGCGTCAAAATTCATTTGGGAATTATAAATCAGTTACTTGATTAGTCAACAAGTGGAAATGGTGGTGGTGATGATGATGGTGACGATGATGATGATGGTGACGATGATGATGATGGTTATGATGATGGTGATGATGGTGGTGATGATGATGATGTGGATGGTGGAGATGATGATAATGGTGATGATGATGATGATGATGATGATGATGATGGCGATGATGATGATGTTGATGACGATGATGTTTTATCTATATTAATTATTCCCTTTCTTGTCTTTCATTGATGACAGGGACTGCTCACTGTGCCAATATGTACCCTGCATCGCCGGATGATCCAGCTGAGCTCACTCAGGCTAGGACCCAAATCAGAGATACCATACAGAAGTGGCTCTCACAATAGCATCCAATCATCCAGGGTGCAGCTGCTGCTGTGGCTTAGGCCCATTTCTTCCATATTATGTACTGATCATGCACTGAGAGGGGATAGGAAAGCAGCGACTGTACCAAATGTTTTACATTACCGATAAGAATGGGTTTACCAATTATAATTGGATTAATGAACATGTAATGTGATAAATCTAAGAATTGATGAGGTTGGAATTATTCCTACTGAAATTTGGTGTGTGTGAGGCTGAGATTGTGGTACTATTGGAGGGACTAAATTATTTAAAAATAGAGGTTGGAGTGTGTTATAAAATCCAACATTATACCAAGATAATTAATGAAATGAAATACATATGAATGTGATCCATGAAATACGCATCTTGTCTTGAAATATCACATCAAAACATACACTTTCGGATGGGTATTTTCAATCACGCAAGATCATTATGTTTTAATGGGATTTCATTAGTAAGAAATATTGGTTTATGTTATGTTTTTGCATGAGCAGTAAAGTCTCATCAATGCAAAATTACACATCTATTTCCTTACTGTACATCGCATTAATTACGGGAAGTATAGTTCAATGTACTTCTTTGCTTCCCGTTCATCGTATATTTCTGGATTTAATATGTTCATGTAAATATGATGCAAGTTGCTCATGAAGTACTTAATATTTCATTTTCATGTTTTTGTGAAATGATAATCAAAGTTTGTAGTATCAGTCATGCGTAATGTACTTTGATTGTTGTAATACCGGGTAATTTTATATACTGACAGTGTACAACGACCACATACCACTTTAGGATCTTATTAAAGCCATGAACTGTACAGAATCACCATTATAGCCCAATTTTTTACCTATATGTTCCACAAAGCCTGAAAATCTTGGTTCCGGTATGTGCAATTTTGCCCTGCAATTCAGATCAATCTAAGCAGTAAGAAAGAAAACTAAACATGCCCACTCTATAGGTCCAGATAATTATCGAGGTAGACTCCCCCTTTTATACAGTACTCAGTGATGTTTGTTCTCTTTTGATATATCTAGCAAAAATATTTTTAAAGGTATATTTTAGCATTATACATGTATACTCCTTGTGTGTACTTATATGACATTAGAGGTTTGAAACTATATGCACATGTGCATAATTTGACTGTTACATGTATACTTTCATGTTCTATTCTGGAAAAGAGCAGCAAAGCTGTTATTCCAAAGTTGTGAAGCGAGTATGATGATCATCTTGTTGCCTTTATGCATCTTTATTGTAACTGTCTTTATTATTGTGATTTAATATGTGTTAAAGGGAAAGTCCACCCCCAAAATAAGTTTGTTTGGATAGAGGCAGAATAATAAGAAAATCAGGTGAGTGAAAGTTTGAGCAAATTCTGAATGAAAATAAGAAAGTTATGAATTATTGAAGTTGTGATCAATCATATACAAATTGGCAACTCTGTGACTTATTATACGAGCTCTCCTTCATTTGCTTTGTGCATAATATTCCATAAAATCATGTTTTCTTCGTTATTGATGACGGAATATATATTTGTTCCTTGCAGGGGGAGTATAGAAACATATTTGCAATTATTATATTTAGGGTGCATGTATGGTTGAAATTTTTCTTGAGGGAAAATGAAAATTTTAGATTTTTTTAGTACTGAGCAAATGGAAGTTGAGCTCGCATGATACGTCATGGAGTTGCCAATTTGTGTTTGATTGATCACAACTTCAAAAATCCTAACTTCCTTATTTTTAATCGGAATTTGCTCAAACTTTCACTGACTTGTTTCTCTCATTTTTCTACTCCTATTAAAACTAACTTAATTTCAGGGTGGACTTCCCCTTTAAGTCATAATTTGACAATCAAAAGACGCGACTCTTTAGTTGTTCAATTTTCAGTTAGCTATCAACATTATACGTTTGTGTGTATCGATGACCAGCTTGTTCTGAACATTATGAGAGGTCATCTTTATTGTATGTAAAAATGTGTCGTCTCAAAATCTTGCTGAATATATTTTTTTTACATGATGAAGTATTAAACTGAGGAAGATGCAATTACAGTAAATATATTTGATACAAATAAAGATATTGACTTTGAAGATATAATTCTTTGTATATTTTTTTGTTTTATTTACATTTTTCTTTATACAATGTACAAAATATACAGACCATGGCATAATTGAGCTCAACTAATATGTGACCAATTCCAATCGTTATACCATGACATTTCAAGAGAGTTTTTGATTTTTCAATAAAGAATATTAGATATTTTATTAAAATTCACAAATTAATGATATAATGATATGATGAGGCACGTCACGTTTTTAGGATTACCTATCGACCGTTAATCATATTTATACAATATGGTTTGTTATCAGTGAAATGACGTAGAGGGCAATTTATTGGTCATTCTGTAAAGAGGCTGTTTGAAATTCAATATTCAAAGTTTGATGAATGGTCGATAGGAAAGTCAACTGTTGTGAAAGTACCTCATATTGGTTTGTATATATCATATCATTAATAACTTTCATAATTTGTAACTTTTTATTAAAATGTTGATAATATTCTCTTTTTTTTCTTCTTTTCAAAATAGAAATTTCTCTGGAAATGGAAAAGAATACATGAAATAAACTTCTGAAATGAAAGAGAAATTAAATAATGACATGATTTTTATTTATTCATTTCATTGGAAAACAAAAGTAATTTGTATGGGATTAATCTCAGTTTTAACCTGGACTGAACTTAAGTCACTAGACTTAATTTAGTCAGGTTATTACACTTACAGTGAACACCTAAATTATTCATATCCTTTAATACCAAGTTTTGTAAATTTCAAGTATGTGAAAAATTGATTCGTCCCAATTTACGTTTCTTGTTAATGTGACATCAGAGTATTAAAAAATGCCCAAATTCGGCCAGTCCACTTTTCATTTTTAGTTAAAAAAAAAAAAAAAAAAAATTGAGCAAAAAAAGGACAGAAAGTTCATCAGTTCAGAGTAGCTTTGAAGTGAAACATCTTGTTAATCACATATAAAGAACGATGCCGTAATACAAAGTGCATAATCTGCCATATTGTTCTACGTACACTTGTCAGAGTCAATTTTATTTTTTCTTTAAAAAAATGACTTTGAAACACAATTACATCCAAATTACATTTATATACAAAAAGGTCCTTGTCATGATATAAACATCCAAATATTCATTTTACTTCGTATGTCTCGTTGAAGAGACTACATGAGATCCCGCCTTCGCGCATGCGCACACAGTCGTCTTCGCAAGCTAAGCTAATGGAAAATTAAAACTTTCATCGCACATTTTTACTTCATTTTCATTGGAAATCATCAGTTTTTTTGTAAACGTAGTTTACTGGACTTTTTAAACGTTTTTTGGGACGTTTCTCATCAGGTTAGACGTTGTCTAGGCCTCCCACTTTCGTTTTTTGAAACGATTCAGGAATATTGTGTTCGCAAGTGAGTCGTGATTTTCACGGACTCAGCTATGTCTTTGCACACAGCAGATTTTGCGTCGTGCATGTCGGGGGAGTTAGCCGACACTGGACCACTCGTCCCGCCTAGTGAATCTAAGAGCGTGCGAGGAAAAAAGAAGGAAGTCAAGAAAAGGACTTTGCTAAAATCAGATATCCCGTCGGGGAGTCGATCGAGTGCTATGAAGCCTAAATCTCGAGACCTCCGGATGAAGCCAACATTGACGAAAACGTGGAAGTTTCTGCCATGGAACTTTGCATGAACAAAATGGAAGCCATGCTGGCTCGGGTAGTGGCGGCCATCCCTGGCCCCGCTCAAACCCAAAGCGGACATTTTTCAGACGAGTCAGCAGATTTAGAGGACGTTGGATCAGATCACGAGGGGGAGCAATACACACCGGAAACGTGTGTGCCAAACATCGCAGCTAAGTTTGCTGTCCCCACTGGAGTTGGGGAACCAGTGGATGAGGAAATTGCTAATTCTGCCTCATACTTGATAATGAACAGATTGGAGGACAAGGTCCTTTCGGATACGTCGGCTAAATACTTGCCTCCAAGTAACTGTGAATTTTTAGACACCCCAAAAGTTAACTCAGCAATCTGGGACAATCTTTCTCAACGTTCTCGTATTCGGGATTTGAAGCTTCAAAGAGTCCAAAGGTCTTTGACCAGAGGACTGTCAGCATTTGCGCAGTCTCTCTCATCCCAAACAATTACGGAAACACAACAAGACTCCTTGGCATTGATTTGCAATGCCAACTATGAATTGAACAGCCTGAGAAAGGAGTTTATCAAGCCAGAGATGAACGAGGCTTACAGCCATCTATGCAAACCGTCGGCCCCAGTCACGAAGTATCTCTTTGGAGATGAACTGGGGAAGCGTATGAAAGACCTCAAGGAGGAGCAACGGGCCGGGGCGGTAAAACAAGACAAGCCCGCTTATCGTTCACACCAACGATACCACCCTTACAAACCCCAGAATTTTTCGAAATTCCAAGACGCGGGATGGACTTCATTCGCCGGCCCGAGCAAGCAGAGTTTTCAGAAACCTTCTTACCAGCGTTCAAGTTCTTTCCGCCAGCCTTTTTTAGGCCAGGGGCGGGGACGGGGAAAACCACCCGCTCAACGAAATCAGCAACAGCACAGCCGACAAGGCCAGAGGAAGTAGCTGCCATCATACCCGACGAGGTAGGTGGAATATTTTCTTGTTCTAGATCTAGATCTAGTCCCAATTCGATTAAAGATTTGAATAGTGACCCTCCTGTGGGAGGTCGACTGAGGCTTTTCTACCATAAATGGCGTGATATTACATCAGATCCCTTTATCTTAGAGGCGGTCAGAGGTTACAAAATTGAATTCAATCAGGTTACACAAACCCTGCAGGGGACTAAACCTTTTATCCTTCATAAAAGGAATAAATCAGAAACCGAGATCATTAGTAAGGAAATAGCTAAACTTCTCGATAAAGAAGTGATCGAACCATGCGCTCGACAGCAGGGTGATTTCTTATCTAATGTTTTCACTGTACCAAAGAAAAATGGTAGTATGCGTTTGATTCTCGATCTTTCAAGATTGAATCTGAATCTTATGACCCAACATTTCAAAATGGAAAGCATACATACAGCAACTTATTTGCTGACCCAGAATTGTTATTTAGCCTCAGTCGATCTACAGGATGCTTATTATTCGGTCCCAATCAGCAAGAACTCCAGGAAATTCTTGAGATTCATATGGCAAGACAAATGCTGGCAATTTAAAGCATTACCTAATGGTTTGAGCACGGCACCAAGGCTATTCACTAAGATTTTGAAACCAGTGTTTGCCCATTTACGACAATTGGGACATACAGTTATTGGCTATCTGGATGATACATTAATTGTGGGTGAATCTAAGAGACAGGTAGAATTGGCAATTCATAATACTACAGAAATTCTCAGTGAATTGGGGTTCAAAGTTCATCCTGATAAATCAGTGCTGGAGCCACAGCAAGAGCTCCGATTTCTCAGGTTCATTCTGAATACTAGTAATATGACAATCGGCCTACCAGAGGAGAAGATCCAAGACATATCTGGGATCTGTCGGGACTTATTACACATGAAATCCCCGTCTATCAGACACGTAGCTCGAGTCATCGGGAAACTCGTAGCCACTTTTCCAGCGATGCAATTTGGTCCCTTGTTTTACCGCAGTCTAGAGAAAGACAAGACAGTAGCCCTGAAGGTAAACAAGGGACACTTTGATAGACATATGAACCTCTCTGACAAATCAAAACTTGAAATGTTATGGTGGACCAAATTATCTAGTAGGGCCCCATCACCCATTAGAAGAGAAAGTCCTACCCTTGAAATCCGTACAGATGCGAGCGGAGCTGGATGGGGGGCAACCAACATGCAAGTTGAAACAGGGGGTAGATGGAATGAGAGTAAATTGGTCAGAGCAAAGAACGACGAAATAAACTACCTGGAAACGTTGGCAGTAGGATTAGGTTTGAAGTCGTTCTGCTCTGACTTACGTGATGCCCACGTGCTTGTAAGATCAGACAACGTTACAGCTGTCACTTACTTGAATTGTATGGGCGGCTCCAAATCACTTGCCTGTAACAAAGTAGCACACGAGATATGGGAATGGTGCATTGACAGGGACATTTGGATTAGTGTAGCTCACTTACCAGGCCGAGAAAATACAGAAGCTGATCGAAAGTCACGCAAATTTAATGACAGAACCGAATGGATGCTTAATAGAGAAGATTTCCATAAGGTAGTTTCCTTTTTTGGACTGCCTGAGATTGACCTGTTTGCATCTAGATTAAATGCACAGTTGAGTAGGTATGTCTCTTGGCTACCAGACCCTAACGCAGAATCAGTGGATGCTTTCTCACTGAACTGGCGAGAATTCAATTTCTATGCATTTCCCCCCTTCTGCCTCATACCCAAATGCCTCCAAAAGATTAGAATGGATAAGGCAAAAGGACTGCTAGTTGTCCCAAATTGGCCAACTCAAGCATGGTTCCCTTGCATTAAGGCGATGATGAAAGGGGAACCACTACTTTTAAAGAGAAAGGTCAGCCTTCTCACTCAACCTGTTTCTAATGTACCGCACCCCTTACATGAACGTCTTGATCTTCTTTGTTCAGATTATGCGGGGATCCTTTAATCAACATGGACTAAGTACAGAAACAGTGGACATTCTCACAGCATCATGGAGATCTATTAGGACCAATTATTTTCCTAATAATGATAAATGATGCTTGTTTTAACTCAGAAGTACCATACTTCAAGTATGTAGACGATCTGACATTAGTTGAAAGTCGTACATTATCACAACCATCTAAATTACCAAATACTTTATCTGATTTTTATCAATGGTCTCTTCGTAATAACATGACTCTTAATCCATCGAAATGTCATTGTATGTTTATCTCTTTTTCTAAGAATATAGCTGATCAGAGACCTTTGTTTATTGGGGATGAGTGCTTAAACAGTGTACAAAAAGCAAAAATTTTAGGAATAACTGTGCAGTCCGATTTGAAATGGGACAGTCATATCTCAGACCTTTTATGCCGTGCTAATAAAAAACTTTTCATGCTTCGTATTCTCAAAACATACAGATTACCTTTCTGTGATCTAGTAACAATTTACAAGGGATATATTCGCCCAATATTGGATTATGGAGTACCTGTTTTCAACGGAAACCTCACCCAAAGTCATATCTTAAGTTTGGAACGAATCCAGAAAAGAGCATGTAGGACCATACTAGGTGATCAATATATTAATTATGACAAAGCTCTTGAAGTGTGTTCTTTGCAGACCCTGTCAGATAGACGCAAACAATTATGCACTAATTTTGCTTCATCTCTTGTCAACAACCCACTTTGTAAACATTGGTTACCTGTTAACAATAATGTAGATTATTCACTGCGAAGAAGGACCAAGTATCGTCAATTTCATTGTAAAACGAACCGCTATAGAAATAGCTCAATTCCATACCTAATAGACCTGTTGAATGCATGAATGAATCTTAATTGTCTACCTGTTGAATGGTCCGGTGTCTCATTGTCTGCATACATTTTTACATTTTTACATTTTACATTCCGCATTTTAAATTTTAAATTCTATGCTTCCATAATTACTTGTAACATCTTTTTAAAATGTACATTGAATAGTGATAAGGTTTTGTAGCAATCATGACATGGCAATTCAGATCAAATGGTGTTCAAGTTTTTAATTCATTTGCTTATTTATCCCCAATTTACGAAAGTCGGGAAGGAGCTTACTTGTTTTTTTTTTTTTTTTTTTAAATACCCGACACTCCTTGACACAAGAGAGGTCCAGGGATGAGCGAGCAGACCGTTAGCTAGTGTATGGGAGTGTGAATGGGAGTGTGTATAAGAGTGTAAATGGGAGTGTTTATGAGAGTGTCCAAGGTACAGGAGTGAGAATAGGAGCGTGTATAGGAATGAGAGCGTGTATTGAAGAGCAAAGGGCCTGCTTGCTCATCCTTTGACCTACTCTTGTGTCACCTCACAAAATATATTTTAAACGTGAATTAATTTGCCTGTTATTGCCTTAGTCATATTAGTTACGAACTTTGTTATGAATTTTGTTATATACTGTATATTATACTTTGTGACAATGTCAACCACATTTGTATGTATTATAATTCATTGCCAATGTAAATTGTTCATAATTCAGCCATCTGGCTGCGAAGTGCAATCAATAAAACCTTTTCAATTTCAATTTCAATTTCAAATCTTCAACCAAAAAGCAGTATACCATTTACATCAAGAAATGGATACAGTTCTGTGCACAACACAAAGTGAGCCACCTTCAAACCAAGGTTAACACTGTTTTGGAATTTTTAAGTAATCTTTTCCAGAGTAGATCAAGTTATAGTGCAGTCAACACAGCACGCAGTGCTCTCTCGTCTTATGCCGTGTTAGAGGATAGTACGTGTACAATTGGAAACCACCCACTCATTTGCCGACTACTCAAAGGCATATTTAACCTGAAACCACCAAAATCTCGATACACAAGCATCTGGGATGTCAACATTGCCCTGAAATACATGAGGAAACTTTCGCCAGCAACATCGTTGAATCTAAAGGCACTCACCCTCAAACTGAGCCTGTTAATGGCACTCATATCAGCGCAGAGGGTACAATCTCTACATTTTTTGAAACTAAGTACCATGGAACTTAAGCAAGGTTCTGCAACATTCTGTGTAGACGATGTCATTAAACAGACAAGACTAGGTTCAACAGGTCTCATGCTGCATCTTAAGGCTTACCCACCAGACAGACGTCTGTGCATTGTTAACTATCTTAAGCAATATATTAGCAGGACAAAGAATTTGAGGAATCAGGAGGATTATCTATTCATTAGTTTCTCTAAACCTCACCAAAGAGTTACATCGCAGACGATTTCCAGGTGGATCAAAGAATCCCTGACAGCTGCTGGGATTGATACATCTGTATATAAATCACACTCAACACGTGCGGCAGCGGTCTCTGCAGCAAAGAGAGCAGACCTGCCTATTTCCAATATCCTCACCCAGGCAGGGTGGGCGAACGAACAGACATTCAGAAAGTTCTACGACAAACCTTTAGTGAAGGGACAAGGAGCCTTCACAACAGTGATTTTGCAACAGTAATCCTGTAAAAGATACAAGGTACATCTTTTACTTATACCTCTAAATACTAGTTTTTTCAAACGTATTTTGTACAACGGCCAAACGTTACTGCTGCGCTTCGAAATCTCATGTAGTCTCTTCAACGAGACATACGAAGTAAAATAGAAAGATTAAACGAGAACTTACCGTTTGAAGTTTGATCTTTATTTTATGAGTGTCGAGGAAGAGATTACATGCCCTCCACTTCCACCCTATGTTTTCACAGGTAATTAAAGTTCTCTGCATCTTTCTACGGGTTCAGCAGTCACATTTGGTGCTTCGAAGTATGTGCGCATGCGCGAAGGCGGGATCTCATGTAATCTCTTCCTCGACACTCATAAAATAAAGATCAAACTTCAAACGGTAAGTTCTCGTTTAATCTTTCTATTATCCCCTCTTGGTACTCATGTTGGAGAGAATTCACCTTCTGTATTTTTTTACTTCTGAAGTCCGCCAAGCTTCGAATGAGCATATAGTGAGTTACACATTGGCAAGAATACTGATGTTGTCACAATTATCATAGATAACCATTTCAAACAAATGTTTGCTCCATTGTTCAGCAGTCCAGTCAAAGAAGAGATAATTCCACTGTTCCTTGTCATCAGAAACTATCGCTGGAGCTGCTGCTCTCTGAATCCGATGACATCATCTCCACATCGTCCTCGTTCTCCTTGCCCAGATCAATCCCACCATCCCCCGTGAGACGATTGACCCCTGTTGACATGCTGCGACTCGCCGTGAGTTCGCTTGAAGGTTTCCAGGTCAGGCCTCCAGTAGCTCCCGCTGTATAATTAGCAAAGCAAAATATACAGTATTATACAGCCACCTGTAAACTTTAAAGAAGATGGCTTGTTCTTTTTGACACAGGGTTTGTTAACTTCAAGCTTTGCATAAATTCTGCTTGCCTTTTTCTTTCCACTGAATTTTTTTTAAATTAAAAACCATAAAATAGGAGAATCAGCAAACAAAAACAACACTTTGTAATCAAGCCAATTGGGTGATCACAATTACTCCTGCTGCACATACCCTGAAATAGTTTCAAATCTCAACTCCCATAGCCTTCCTCATCCCTAACCACGGCTTTGCAACAAGAAATAATTTCAGGCATTGAATGTCCTAAAATTTTGTGCGCAGGCTACTATGGCCAATACAATGGGAACAAATTTAAAGAGAGAGGGTCATCAGTTTCCATGTGCAGAAGGTGATAATGCACTGACACCAGGGGGGTGTTTCACAAAGATCCTAAGTTGAACTTATCTCTAAGTTGGACTTAAATATTATGGAGTGCCATTTGTAGCCTCATAATGAAATATATTAAAAAGCAAAAATCCATGTATTTTAGACTTTTCATAAATTCCACATCAAGAACATGAAATCTTCCATGGTAATAGAAAATATGAATGATTTAAATCAACATTTTATGCCTTTTAAACTAACTTTTATTAAATATTTCCAAGGATGCTAATGGCTTTCCATAATTTTTAAGTCTAACTTAGAGATAAGTTCAACTTAGATTCTTTGTGAAACACCCCCCAGACTTGGTGGGAATACCATTAATGGGTGTACAAGTCTGCACACAGAAAACCTACAGTCCTATCAAGAAATACCCCTTGGTCTCGCGGAGTATCTTCGGGTGAGGGAAACGTAAGATAACGACTTTAGCAAATGGGGGATGGGTGGAAAATGCATAGCATTACATGAGGCCTGTTAGTCATAAAACTGACGATTGACAACACCTATTATTGGGTAAACAACCGAATGGTGTCCAATTCTCCATGAGAGCCCACTACTCTGTGTCTTTACAGCAATTCATTTTAATAGCTACAGGGAACCCCAAATATTGCCTTAAGCTTTGTAATCTTGACAGAGGCATTTTAGCCAGTGAGTAGGGGCATATGAGGTAATAAACCAGTTCACGGTTAGCATATGTCTCAAATGACCCGAATATCTACAGATCTTCAAAACATGAAGAGGTCCCACTTTGCACATTTTGAAATAATCACTCCTACAGCGATTGAGGTGCTACATAAAAGCCTTTGTTTCCCCTTTCCAAAGATTACTTCAACCTATGTATCATGGAGTGCACTGCTTGTGCATAAATGAATAATGACTACATAACTTTCATGAGCACGTATCCAATAATTTGTCTCCGTGTATTTCACAGCTTGTCTGCTCATGCTCAGACTGCAACTATGAACTGGCTTATAACAATAAGCCTCGGGGGCCAGAGGGTAATCCAAGACCTGTAATTTGATTTAAAGACACGGGGTTCCTCACCTGTACTCTGTGCACCATCTCCACCTCCTGCACCGTTGAGTCCTACTTGAGGAAGATTACTCAGCCTACCCAGGACACCCATCCTCATCTCCAGATCTGTTGGGTAGGGTCTACGAGGATCACCTATTGTGAAAGGGGCAAACAATCGTTCAAGATATGGCACAATGCTGTAGTGATGGCCGTCGCTTTGATTTGTGGTATATGATTAATGCAATTTTAATAGATAAAGTCTGGATTTTCTTGGCAATAACCCCAAAAAGAAAGAAAGGCTTTTGGCGCATCTATAAATTGACTATCAACTATGGCTTTTCATCTCATGATCTGTTAAATGGGTCGGGTCTATGAGGATTTACTGATGTGAAAGGAGCAAATCATCCTGAAATCCTCTTTTTCACAAAATTTGTGTCCAAAAAGTTTACAAAATAGATTGTATTCCTAATTTTGCCTTGAGATATTCCTAGTTACTGTTGTGAAAGGTTGGTAGGTATGTTACAGAGACAAGAGATGTAAATGTTTTTTACAGACACAATTTCTAGGCCCCACTTTTATAAGAGCTTTAATTGATATGAATTGATTGCAAGACAGTGTCTGGTTGAATATCAAAAGACCTCTGAGGATCACACATTATCACAAGGTGGAAGCAATTTACAGGGTGCCATATACTAGCCTACTATTTGGCCTTAATTACCTGAAACAAGACATTTTCTTCAAATCTATGTAAATATTGAAGCTATTGAAATAATACTATGATAAAGATCAATGAGTCATCTAAAATTTGTAGAATATTAAAAAAAAATGTAGTAACATGGAGTTGAGAACCAAATTGGTGACTTAAAGAGGGTAAAGACATGAAAAGTAACATCCATCTCTCCACTAAATTGGCAAGACGAACCTGGTTCCCATGCAAGAGGTGCAGCCACAGCATTGGTTGCACTGATCCGATGTGCGTACTTGATGAGTTCCTCTGAAGATATGGCACCTTTCTTGGCTTGTTTGATAGCTTTGAGCTTCTCCTTGGCTTGGTAGATGGCTGTGGCCTGCAGGTTTGGCAGTGACAACAAAAAAATGAAATAATAAAAGGGGATTCTTCTATAGCGCTCATGTCTGTCAGACACCTGGGGGGTGTTTCACATATCAGTGACAAATGACAGTTGTTGTTAGGAGCTACTGAAATCCCTGCTTCTGATTGGTTATCAGCAGATTTGTCACTGATATTTGTCATTTGGCATTGAAAAAAGCCTTTGTGAAACGGGTCCCTGGTGCTCCACAATTATTACCCCACCTTTAGCATGGCTGTTATGGCGCTCTAGCATTTTAAGGAATGAATTCCTGCCAGGTACCCATTTACCTCGCCTGGGTCAAGTGTGGCAAATATAGATCAATGTCTTGCCAAAGGACATTAGTGCCGCGCTGGGACTCAAACCACAAACCCTGTGATCCACAGTCCAGTCACATATCCACTAGACCACGACACCTCCTTGTGGTATATTAGAATGCATGGGAATATAATGTGATATGAAAAGCAATCCCTATGATAGAGTCCTATCTTGTTTCAAATTATATATCTGGATTGTATGTCTTACATTACATGAATTGGAGTCATGTCAATGAAACATATGCTGTGGTAAGAAAAATGAAAGACTCCTCTATTAAACTCTGTGAAAAATATGCAACCTTAAGATGCTTGTGGTATCAGAATATGCTATATAAACAATTCACTCTAAACTTAAGTGGAGTTAGAAAATACACCAACAAGATCCACTCACTCATCAATGCACAGCATTTCTTTTATTTTACATAGCTATTTGAGAAAAAAGTTTCTTTCATATCTTTTTGAATTTTCAGAACTGTTTTTTTATCTTTCCATGGTTAAATCCCACTGATGCTATGTCATCTAGATGTAATAGTGCTGTCACTGGTTAAGTTAAAAATATATACAAATACTAATGATGGTTTCATGAAAGATCATCAGTATTGGTGATACAGTGTACTGAGATCAAAAATTTAACTTTCAAACACTATTAGTGGTTCATTTACCAGAATATATTCAGCTTCTTTGAGTTGTTTCTGTAAAGTTTTGATATCTTCATCCCTCTTATCCACTTCCTCCTGAAGACCCTCAATCTCTTGTTTCATCTTCCTTTGTTCTTCTGTCTCTTTCAATGTCGCTTCAAGCTCTTCATTTTTCTTCATCAAAATCTCCATAATCTGTAGATCAATCATCAAATAAAACAATTTTGATAACATGCTTCAACTTCAAATTTACAGCACTGCTAAATCACTTCTTTGCAACAAAATTCCAAAGTAAAAGTCACAAATGATTGTCACAAGTTTATTTTTTATTTGCATCATCTTCTTATGTTCCTCCATCTCCTTCAAGTTCTTCAACATTGCTTTAAAGCCCCACTGTACTACTTGTAGCTACTTGCTCCCTCTATATAGAAAACAATGCCAAATCAGTGACCATTAGTCCCCCATGATCTTCTTTTTCTCATGTTGATTGAGAGCTGAGTTGATGAGATAGCCACCTGTCAGTGACCACCCTGGGTGGTCTAATTCCTCCTAGCCAAACTAGTACAGAGTCAGACGGCCTATAAACTTTTAATTCTTCATCATTAAAATCTCAATAATCTGTGGAACAATCATTAAAAAAGAAAAGAAAAAAGGGAATGATAATTAAAGGAAGATGAAGAAGAAGAAAAATAGAATAAGGAGAATGATCAAACATCCAATTTTTAACAAAGTCTGAATGAAAAGTTGAAAAAAGATGAAGAAAATCTTACTTGAGGTTCATCTGGATGAGGAACTCTCTGCCGAACTGCTGAAGTTGCTTCACCAAGGTCTCTGTACAAATGAAAATAATTTTGCGAGTAAGAATAAATAAAGTAACTGAATGAGGGGACTTGAAGTTCCGAGAAGCAGCCAGTACAAAAAAATCTTTACTTCAATATGATAAACCCTGACTTGGGAAATACTTAAATCTTTTCACTAATTTAGGCCCTATTTATGGAGTAGAATAGATGCAACAGACTAACAGAGTATGAAAATAAAGATTATTTCATTGATTATTCTCATACAAAACAGAAATAAGCAAACAAAGGATTGGAAAGAAATTTTTATTACAAAAACCCATTAGGTCTAACCTCGTTAGTAAAAAAAAGAAAACTTAGAAAGGAATGAAAGAAAGAAAGAAAAAAAAAAAGGAAGATAAAGACAACAGACAAGTCCAGTGACGGAACACAACAGCCTGCACAGTGCACACCCCAGCATATACATCTGCAAGAATCTTCAGTATTGAAGGAGGCAGATTATCAATAAGAGGAACAGCAGCCAAATTTTGTCCGAAATAAGTTTAACCTTTTGAGTTTTGTCATTTTTTACTTTTTAATTTTAATTGATTTTGATTTTGATTTTGCGTCCGCTTTGGTGTTTAGTCTTTAGAATTATATAGATCAATGCTTAAATGTTGAAACCCCTCATCTTAATCTGCTTTCACAAAGCTAGAAATGCTCTCCAATCGAAACATAATTGTGAGAGCCCAATACAAAGATAGATGGGCGCTTCTGTGACACTGAAGTGTCACATATCCACAAAGGCATTATGCACGCTATGCTATGGTGTGGGTCCCGCGAGAGTTGCGGCATGCCTCTCTTACTGAATCCCGATCAAGTTGGGCTGTCCGAACAACAGACCAACAAATGGGGTTGTATACATGAGTAAAGTGAAAATATGTTATCTCTATTATAACAGCCAAGAAAATACAAAATCTAAAATTTCTTACTTTGTCAAAACCTCTGCTTCTTCTACAAGAGACAGAAGTCTTGATTTTGCTGTCATGGAGGCTGCCATTTTTGTGTTTGTCTAGTTGTGACTGTTTCAATTTGGACGAAGATGGTGCTCTACCTCTCTCGTCTCGATCCCTGAGATAGCTAGGCCTAAAAATGATGAATAAATAATTTTTTCAAAAAAATAATCTCAAAGGCAATTGCAAATTTGCAATATCCCATAGAAATCTTGTTCGGACAACATAAAACGCCATTGTCATATTTCAATAGATGACGCACAAAGGCTAGTGACGTCAAGTCAAAAAGCGGCGAGTAGAGGGCAGATCATAGAGATATATACTTAATACTTATGTATCTCTATGGGGCAGACAGAAATAATACCTTTGAAGAAAACTTTGTTGATTTTTTTTTTTTTTTTTGGTCTTTGTCCTCCAGGCAAAAAAACACGAAAACAACAACAGCAACATAATTAAATCAATCGAGTACTTTTAGATAAGCTTAGCCAGCACATAGCCGCCGCGGCACTAATGGCCTTTATAAATCTACATTTGCCTCTCTCGACCCAGGCGTAGTCTAGTAAATGTGTACTTAATTGGTATAGAATTTATTCATTGAATGGTTTGAACTCCGTAATTAGGGCAGTAGGGCTATAAACCCTTATAAAAAAAAAAGCCAGGATGACGGTGCAGTAGGTGCTCAAGTTGAGCATCTCTTGAGCCTCGGGGTCACAGTGGTTCTCGGTTCGAGTCCCGCCGCGGCACCGTATGTCCTTTTTCAAGGTACTTCTCTAATGATTTGCCCGGCCTCTCCACCCACGGCGTAGTAAATGGGTATTATGGTATTCCTTGAATGCTTTGAGCTCCTTAGAGCGTAAAAGTGCCTCAGTGAGCATCTCCTGAGATGGATTCGTGCATGCGCCATGTTGGGGAGAGTGAATTAATAACGATGCTGTTTTGAAACAGTATAATAAACGCCATCATTACGCCCAAAATAATGTCCCATAGCAATTAAAGGACAAGTTTGGCCGATTTGCAAGTTGAATAAAAACAATAATATTAAAGAAACTAATTAATGAAAGTTTCATGATGATCGGACGAAAAATAAAAAAGTTCTGGATTTTGAACTTTTCCCCCAATTAAACTATGTTATTTCGGATTTTTGTTTTGTTTTTTGGACACACCTGTATAAAGTCCTCTCTCTCCCTCTCCCTCTCTCTCTCCCTCCTTCTCTCTATGTGTCATCAAGCGCTCCCGGTGACAAATAAGTTCATATATACCCAGTAATACAAGCCTAATTTATTGCTGAAAGAACATGCATTTTTGTCATGAGGGAGTATACTAACTTTTACAGCTTGGCAATTCTAGTCCGGTAATAATTATGACATCAAATATTGTGGGAGAAACGCGCACATTCAGTCATTATGCTAAAAATAAATAAAATTATGATACATTCCATTTAGATAAAATATGTTTTTCGCTGCCCTCCAGTCCAAAAATCGGATAAGTAGAAAATGCATGCTGCACTGTCTACATCTATAGGCTCATATAATTTATATGCCCTACGGCGAGACGGAGTAAAACAAAAAAATACTGCCGGGCCGGGCGGGGGCTCACGGGCACCTCAATTTGCTCTGTACTGATCTATTTCTGTAGTTTTATCTGTCTTTCTTGACACCGCTAACCCCTTCGGTACAGTATCCCCTCACCACCACTCATCGCCCCCCCCCCCCCCATGCCCCATCACCTTCCCCACAGCCTTGCGGTCACACCGGCCCCCAGGCGCCCATACAAAAAAATACCGATATAATAAATATCCGAAAACCAGTGATATCGATATCACATCGAGTTAAACGTGTATTGGAGTTGGATCCCTCAAGAATTTCAGGATTTTAACCGTCAATTATCTGCTTTTGGACCTCAATCTACGAGACTCGAGATGAATAATCAATTTGACATGTAAGGATGCTGCTAAATAACTGCATTATTTGTGATTACGGGTGAAACAGCTGTGTCATTTGGTACCTGGTTTTATGTATCAGTCCCATCTGTTCATTTTTCTGTTGTGACTCCATGAATGGCACACGCAGTTCGAGTTTGAATTTGTTTTCTTCATTACTTTAGTTTTCTTTAGGTGGAAAGCTGTGACAGAAAGTGGCTACATTTATGTATATTAATGGATGTGTCTGGTGTGAAAGTCGTATTGTATCTTGACTTTAGTGGGGTTTTTTTAATGTTGATAAATATTTATTTATTTTCTGTTTTTTAATTTAATTTTTAATTTGATTCAATTTTTTTAATTGGTTTCTGATGTGTTAGTGACATGACTTTTATCAATGATTCAGTTTTCAACGTGCTGCAGTCACAAATTAAATCATAGTAGCCACGACCCACTCATAACAACATTGTGTTATAAAATCAAAACTAATCAGTTAACCAAGTAAGTTAAATGATTTAGTCTACCATGATTTATGAATTATGTCCTTGATTTATTTATTTCTTAAGGTTGAAAGATGACGACAGTGGAGAAGAGCGAGAGGAAGTACAAATAGAACCGTCGCTAAACAAGGATGACATTGAAGACCCACATCAAATAGAATGGGTACGTAGCTAGGCTGTGCTATTATTAGTATTTACTCAATATCATATACCAGTATGGCTCATTTATGTGTAATTTCCGTATTAACTTTGTCGAAAATGTTATTATTAATTAGTATGGGTAAGTATCTCTGGCTCTGTTCACTTAAATGTAGAGTCTGTATCATCTTTTTGTTCCTGATGGACTTGGTCAAACAGTCAACTTTAAAGAGATGTTGATTATTACTTTGCCTTACATACATGATGATGAGGTATTGGATTTAAAGGGGAAGTTCACGTACACCCTAGTATTAAGGTGGTTTCAATACAAGCAGAAAAATGAGAAAAACAGGTCAGTGAAAGTTTGAGCAAAAAAAAAAAATTAATAATAAGAAAATTTTTTAATTGTGAAAGTGCAATCAATCAAACCCGAATTGGCAACTCTGTGATGTATCTTACGAGCTTCTCTCCTATTTGCCTGTACTAAAATACTTCAAAAATCTTTATTTTCCTGTAAAAAAAATTTCAATCATACATTCACCTTAAATATAATTATTGCAGATATTTTTCTATGATACCACCCCTGCTTATCAACAAATTTATTCCTTCATCAATAACTAAGAAGATGAAAGTTTATGAAATGTTGGTACATAGCAAATATGTAAATTGAAATGCTATTGGTATTGGGTCAATTTCAATTTATTTTTGACCTTTTCTACCCAGCCCACAGTGAAATGCAAACAGGGCGAGCATCAGCTTCAGTATTCATACTGCGTCTGGTTTTCAAGACGTACTCCAGGCAACAAAGCATCATCAGCAAACTATGAACAGAACATCAAAATAATTGGCTCATTTGCTTCAGTAAGTGATTTGTATTTGTTTTAATCTGTGAAAATGCAATCAAGTGATTGTTATATGTGAATGCCTTAATCCTTATATGTTTTTATCAACCTACGGAATAGCTGTAGTAATTTAAGAAAATATTTAGGCACTGCAGGGCTACAAATAGTATATTTGTAAAGCGCTTTAATAGAGACATTTGTATAAAGCGCTATATAAAATTAAATATTATTTCATTTTATCAATAAGAAATGCTATATATCTTTAACAAATTTGCTCTCTGCCAATCAAATGCCACAACCTTAGTAGCTCATAACAGTTATTGTAATTTTTGTAGTTTTGATGTCAACAACTTATGATTTCAAAGCTTTAGATTTCAAGTTCTCAGAGAGCTTTAACTCCTCTGAAAGACACTAAAGTAGCATATAGTAGTTTAAAAGCTTTCTGTTGGTTCATCTATTTCATTTTTCACCTCGGACAGGGTCTTTTACATTGCTTTAATACAAATTTTTTGCCTTGCTCTGCTTACAGGTAGAACAATTCTGGACCTTGTACAGCCATATAGCAAGGCCATGTGATCTCACAAGTAGTAGTGACTATCATCTTTTCAAACATGGAATCAAACCCATGTGGGAGGTAAGATTTAAGAGGTCAAAGGTCAGAGGTTACGGTACAAGTCAATTTGATTGATTTTTAAAAAAGTATTCTGTTTGTCGGCCCTGTGATCAGAGGATTTGCAGAGTGCTTGGTCTTATGTTTGTTTCAAATATTCTGCCAGAATATGTCATAGAGAGAGAGGTGCTGTGCTCATTTTTAAAATGTAAATATTTATTTATTTTCTTGCAATCTCAACAAAACTGTGAATAAGATAATGTGATGAGTTTACACTTGTAGTTACTTTTTTTTCTTCATAGATGATATAATACTATCCTCTTAAATCCCTAATACTGCCATGGTATTGCTGAAATTACACACAAAAGGAATCAATTTACAATCCAGTATTCTAGGATTCAGGGCAGCGTTTCACAAAACCATTTTAAGTACTAGTTCATGGACATCCCATTGAAATGCGTTTATTGTAATTAGCACATTTTTTTAATGGGATGTCAGTGAACTTGTTCTTACAAGGGTTTAATGAAGCAATGCCCAGTATGCCTTTCACTTTTGTTGGTCTTGTGATTTTAACTGGAATATTATTTACAGAGTCCATAAATGCCTTGAAGAAGATAATTTGAAGAATTTTAAATCATGATTAAAAAATAAAGATCACAATGTATGTGTCCTTTCTTAATTCGGATGGTATTACTTTTCTGCCTCTAGGATAAAGCAAACAAGAAGAATTCTGAGTAATGAGTTTATAAAAAAAGAAACATTCACAATATATGCATCCTTTCTTATTACTAATAGTATTACTTTTCTTTCTCCAGGATGAAGCGAACAAGAAAGGCGGGAAATGGATTGTTCGGCTACGGAAGGGGCTAGCTTCACGTCTCTGGGAGAATCTTGTTATTGCCATGCTTGGAGAACAGTTCATGGTCGGAGAGGAGATATGTGGTGCTGTCGTGTCGGTTAGATTCGCCGTGAGTACTACAGTTGTCTAGTCTTTCCACATGTTCTGTGCAGGAGTTCAATTTGACCTCCATCATATTAGAGTAAAATAGGCCATTTTCGTAATGTAATCAAATTTATGCATATGCCTTTGTGAGGCACCTCAATTCGAATTATTTTATTCACCTGTTACAATTAAATGTGAATTGCATACATCAGTTGTTGCTAGGTAGGACAAACATGCCTTTTACTACCTAGCAACAAGTAATTTTACATTCTGACTATCGAAAATACAATTATTTGTATCAGGTAATGAAATAACCACCGGGTTCCCGTAGGCAATGTAATGTAAGAACAATGACAAAATGCAGAGCGATTGAAGCTTGCCTTACAAATTTTATTTATGTTACATGTTTTTAAACTTAGAATCCCATCTATTTTTTCACAGGAGGACATCATCTCAATATGGAATCGCACAGCCAGCGACAACAGTATCAACATTAGAGTACGAGACACATTACAAAGAGTGTTAAACCTTCCGCCAAACACCATCATGGAATATAAGACACACACAGATAGTTTGAAGTAAGTGAACTACTTATTTTCTGATATTTTGTTTGAATTTCACATAGTGGCTGGATGCGATGTGTACATGTACATGTACATGTACTTGTATAACAGCATAATTTGGGAAGATCAAACTGCTGCAATAGTTAATAATGAATTTTCACATTAGCCTCATAAATATGTATTGATAAAGAAAGTAAAATTATTGATAAGGCACATTTTTAAATGGTTTGCAATGACATACCTTTTAAAGTTGACTACCTAAACCTGGCCCGTTTCAGATGAGTGTTCTTCATAGCACGTGTCTGGTTTTAAAGTGTCCAAATGAAATGTATATCGTGCCATAATTGTTCTTGTAATTAAATGAGATTTTTGATATTCAATGTTTTTATAATGCTAATGATGTTGAGGAATAATCATTTCCTGTCTAAATCAGGATATCTTTTTATTTATTTCCAATTAGCATTTCCTCAACGCATATATGCATTTCGAAATGATACCTGTACAAGACATGTTTTCTCCTTGTCAAAGAGTACACCCTGCCCCATATTTTCTGTGACTTTCTATAATAATAATAATGATGACAATAATGATAACAACAACAGTAAGTTGAACAATAACTATAAAAAATATGTCTTGTTTACCCAGGGTAGACTCACTAGTATTAATACTGTATACCCTGAGGGCCCTATAATCATATTTATTCTATTTCACCTCTCCTTTCAGGGATAGATCTAGCTTTAGGAATACCGATGTCTTCATGAGGTAGGAGATACTCACACCCATCCTCACCCAGACCATCCTGACTTCTTGAAAGTGAACTGGTTAAGAACATATGGTAGAAGATGTTACCCTTCCATTGAACACTAACAATACCACAAACAATCGATGGATAGGCAAGGATTCCCATGGAGATTGGAATTTTTTTAAAGGATGTTGCCTGTCAGTTCAGCTAACGATCCCAGAGACTCCTGTCAGTGGACAGCCAAGGATTCCCATGAAAGGCACACCAGTTATTAACTCTTTGGTTGCTTTCTTCGCCTGTTTGTATGGTCGCACATTTGCCACATGTGCAATTTCGCACAAAACAACAGGCACCAATCAACGGAAGTATCGCTTCGTTCGTTCAACAAAACGGCTTTTCAGTCTTGATTAGCTCCATGACAACCCTGTCGTCAAACTGCTGGAAACAGCTGTTGGTCCATCCATCCCATGATAAATAAATGATCGTGCAGGGAGATTAATTGTACAGCAGTTAAAGATGAACCCCTTTAGATGACACTACCCTTTATTTGAACTCTACAACGATCCCAAGTACTCGTAAGAATCAGTGGATCGCGTTTAAAGAATTCTCATTGAAAGTGATCTGGTTATAAACAAATAGGCCCAAATTCACAAAGGAGGTTTGTCGACAAACCTAGGTTTATATGCGTTTAGATGCGTTTCAGACCATGTTCAGACAAACCTTGGTCTGAAACGCGTCTAAACTCGTCATATGACGTACATAAACCTAGGTTTGTCTACAAACCTCCTTTGTGAATTCGGGCCATAAACTTTTACTGATACTTCCCTTCATTTGAGCTAAAGCGATCCAAGGACTCAACATTTTCATTGAATGGACGAGGATACCCCTATTTTGATAACCAGAGGGAATAAGAAACTTCAGCAGTAACAAAAAGGGAAACAACTACATGTTTATCTGATAAAAATGACAAATTTAGATGAACTACAGCAACTCTTCCGTGCATGTCTAAAGATGGAATTTTGATCGTAAAGGTCCCATTCTTACAAAGATTTGTGACTGATCAAAATTGATTGCAAGTCCTCCAATCAATTGCAAGGTTACAATCTCCTATCTCATTCACATGTTAAGACTTTCAATTTATCTCAAGCTCTCAAGCTAGTTGCGATCAAAATAGAATCGATCACAAATCCTTATAAGATGGGCCCTAGAGAGTGTATGCTGGCTGTATAACAAAGTGAAGCCTTCTTGTTTAGTTTTAGTATATTCCAAAGAGATTGTACTATTCCCAAACTGAGAATCTGTACCGTTACTCATTTGCCACTCCATTTTTGTGTTTTTACACTTTTTATTTTCAAGTTCATATGCATGTAAGAATACTACAATTTACATAAGTCTTGCAAGTGTATAGATTGTACATAACATAAGAGACAGTAACAATTGTAAATTGTTAAATTCTGTACAGTATGTTTGTTTAATAAAATACAAACTACATGTACATTACAATTCCTAATTTCAAGTGTCACAATTGTTTCTCTTCACCAACGTCTTTATTATTGCTACTTAAGTTAAATATACTGTACAGATTTGCTGTTCAAAACGAAAGCAATTAGAAATATTTACAGAACACAGTCATTAGTGAAGGCCCATTTTTAATTTACCTCTTTAAATGCAAACAATACAACATTCACTATTCTTTCCCATACAAGGCATTTAAGCTGTAAATTAAAAAGACGTATTTTGCACGCTACTCCGAATACGAAACCGGAGCGGGCAACATTTGTCACATTGCCCTCTTCCGGGTTTTCCCCGTAGACCACTGTACTAAATCAGAGGGCAATATTCTGCCATATTCCACTCTTTCTTGTCAGTGCGCTTTTATTAAAGTGCATACTTGCAGTATTTTGTACGCGTTAAAGTGTACGCGTGGTAACAATTTACGTCACAATTAGATTTTCATACATTTTCATCTCTGAAAAAGAGTAAGGGAAATGCATGCATACATGGTGAGTAAAAATCATACTTGATACCAAAGTTGTATTTCATTTGTAAAATGCCTTGTATATGATTATATTGACAGGGCTTCTTTCGGGGTACATCAGACATATTGACTGCGTTAAGACCAAATTGCCCTCGCTTTCAACTAGGGGCAATATGATCTTAGCGTGGCCAATATTTCTGATGTACCCCTCGAGCCCAGTCAATATAATTATTGTTACCTATACAAGTCATTTTACAAATGATATAGCTTTCAATATTATTTTCTACTTTTCTACAAATCAATAAATAGCAATGTGCCTTAACAAAGTACAGAAAACCATTAACCTGTAGGAATATTCATGTACTCAAATGAAAATCTGAAGTAATAACATAAAAATCATGAAAATGAATGACATTATGATACAAGAAGATAACTGCAAGACTGATCTATTGAAATGGATTGGCACACACAGGTCATTGACATTAAACTAATGACTTATTTCCTAATCTAATGGAAGAGAATCAATTGTAACAGCAAACACGTCAAAACAAGATACACAATATATGAGATTGAGTTGGTACTGGGTATCTATGGCTTGGTTAGGGGGGGGGGGGGTATAGGTCTTACTGGATGGCTGACTTCGAATGAACAAGACAATTAATTAAGGTATGGGACTTGATTTAACTCGGGTACACTATACATGTATTTAGAACATCAAATATATTATAATAACAACGACTATGGATAAACTAAAGCTGATAATTAGCTTCTTCCAAAGGCGTGTCCTTTTCAAGTTCCCTTTCTTCCTCTCCATCTTTCTCTGGCTTCTTTTTTTCTCCTTCTCCCCCCTCTTCCCCAATTGGTTGTCTGGTGTGGGGGGGGGGGGGGGGTCTCTGCGTCATCCTGACACTAACATGGAAGCCAACATGAATTAATAAATTGATACGCAAAATAGCAAATACACTGTACAATGTTAGCGCATTGAAAAGCAGAGGGAAAATATGGAACATCAAAAGACAGAGCGGGTCAGCATCACAAAATTGCAAAGACATTAGAAATTATTTCAAGCCCCTATTGTATGCCCCACGAAAATCATGCTCGGACCATGTACAGTTAAACCTGCTTTAGCGACTACCTGTTTATAAAGACCACACTTTTGTGTTTCTCTTCAATATGGTTTCTCATTGGAACTAAGGACCACCTGCCTATAAAGACCACTTTTTATGTTCCCTTGAGTGATCGTTATTGACAGGTTTCTCTGTAATACGTTATTGTGTTTGCCGGTTGCAACAAGTGATTAATACGGCTATTAAAATAGGCCATTTTTCATTATGTAATCAATAATGTAATGCATAAATCTTTCTTGAGCGCCTCGTTAAAAATCATTTCATTCACTTGTTTACAAATAATTGTATTTCAAAAGTCTAATGCGGATTGCATGGGCAAGCCATAATGTCTGTCCCTGGCAGCAACTAATGAATGCTATGCTATTTATGCATTCAATTTGATTACATTAAGAAAATGGCCTGTTGCCTTTCTAGGTTTTAATGTTTATGCTTGCTATTACACGCATTCTTTCGTTCAAGGCAAATTCTGATTTGTTTCTTATAGCTTTTTCCTCCGTATAAGTTGTCTAGTTCTGTTTTGCTCTAATATAGTCCATCTTCCATCATCAAGTCATCTCAAAGAACATGTAGTCCTGAAAAGTGAAAATGAGAACAAAGTTAAGAATGTTATAAGCTGAATGATTTCGCGGGATATTACGTTTACTGGACTAGGTTTCATTTTTGTACAGAGTAATCGAGATACCAAAATCAAGCAAAAGGTTATTTTTAATTTGGTAAAAAAGACATATCGAATTTTCAAGCAGGATAACTGTAACAGATTTTATAAGAGATGGCACAAGCTTAACGAACAGACCGGTTGAACAACATGTTAAGCATATCGTTTATTAAGGTTGTTCCTGACTGTAGAGACAACCCGAAAACTTCACGATGCTTGCCTGACATAGCAACACGTAATGCATGCAGTCTGGATATCAAGTATTTATTTATTTATTTTTTATTTCCGTTTCATTTAAACGGGGTTGCCCCGTCAGTATTCAAAGTACTGTTTTCCAGGTGGCCCTGTAAACAAATGCAATGACACTATATGAAGGGATAATGTGTGATGACTAAGAAAGCGCACTTACGACTAAAAAGGCTGATCCAAGAAGTAGTCCTTTGGTTTGGAGATCAGTTCCTGATGGGACTGGGTGAATAAAGAATATAAAAAAATATTGTAAAGGAAAGGAGAGAGGGAGTGAGAGAGAGAGAGAGAGAGAGAGAGAGAGAGAGAAAGAGAGACAAGGACAGAGAAAGAAAAAAAAGAGAGAAAGAGAGAGAGACGAAGAGAGAGAGGGGGAGAGAGAGAGAGAGAGGGAGAGAGAAGAGAGAGAGAGAGAGAGGGGGAGAGAAGAGAGAGAGAGAGAGATAGAGAAAGAGGGAGAGAGAGAGAAAGTGAGAAAGAAAGCTAGACAGACAGACAGGTAGACAGACAGAGAGAGAAAGAGAGATGAAATAGGGAGGATGGACGGAGGAGGGAACGAGAAAAAGAAATTAAAGGGTACAGACTTCGAAGAAACGGGTACGGTATAACTAATGTAATGTACTGAAATTAAGGAATACTGATTAAAAACATTAAGGGAAGGATCTCTAAACATACTCTCTATAGGACAGTTATCCTTTTTTATGTTGCAGGCTTTTTAACCCACTTTTTCCAGCAAGACAATCACCGATCGCAATCAGCTTGCCAGAGTCACACCATCATATCCTTCTGAACCGTCTCCCCATTTTGCACCTGCCCGGCTGCCCGTCTGCTCTTGGTTGTCATGGTTACACATTCTACGTTTAGATTTGTTTGCGAGGTTACCTGTATAGATTCAGACTTTCAACTAGCTCTTTGTCGCAAGCACTGTCGGTTTAACAATACCACTTTCATCATAATGTTTATTGTATAAAAAAAGAAAGAAAAAAAAGCGGTTTCTGTCATATGCATTTGTAACATTCTAAGGAACATTATTTGCGTATGCTCTACTGGTATCTCTGCATTCTCCTCAGTTATAAGATTACCAAAAGATTTGAGACAATCAGATTTTGCGAATGATTAAAGAAATTAAATTACAGATTTTTGAATTAATAGTGAAATCTTCTCAATGCTCACAGTTTAGAACGAAGAACTCATGGTCCATGTTTGTGTTATGCTTTCGCCCTCCCCAGCGTTTGGTGACTGCACCCTCCTCGCCATTTCGAGATAAAATCTGTTGTAGGAAAGAAAGATTATAATAAATCATATAATATCATATGATAAGATGATAATGAGAACTGAGTATTATCATTAGAGTCACATCTAAACATTATGTTAGATCCATTTTGAGATATATAGAGAGAAATAGACAAAATAACAATAATATAATTATTTTTATGAATATACAATAGGGTATCAAAATTGCCCCTATGTTGAATTTTTCGAAAATAGTTGCAATGGTGTTAAAAACATACATTCAACCAAAAAATTGATAGCGATTACAGTAATAATATGCAAAGTGATCTAATTATGCCGGAGAATTACAAAGTCATTGGCATTATTTATTAATGATAAATCTACAACATGCTATTTCATTTTAAGCCGTAATGATACATGTAGGTCATTGATATGCCTATACCGGCCACTTTTCGTATGTACCGCCATTCGAAAGAGGTCATTTTTTTAATTTTTTTAAAATATTTTTTTAATGTGTTGGGGAGGGGGGGGGGGGTTGGGGCTCTTAACCACCCTCCACTATTCACTGATACCTTTTATACCTGACCATACGGAGCTCTATCACGATTGCATACTTACCGATATATCGATATTAGTACAACATCTGCACGGGCAGCATGGTGATTCCATACCAGCGATTCGATGACCATTACGATTGATTATCGTGAACACCGCCCCACATAGTGACCAACTGATCCACAGATAATATGAAGAATAAAAAGCCAATTTATGTAATGATATGAATAAATAATAATAAACTGTATTTCTGTAGCGCATAACATCGCAAATGCAGTATTCATACACTTTTAGAAATAGAAAAGGGAAAGGAGCAATATCTTTTTGGATCATAACGACACTGATAAATTGTTTTACACAAACTATTTTTCTGATAAAATAGTCCTCAAGCCTTGAAGAACGGCAGTTGGAATATCTATATTATGTAAACATTTTTGGACATGGAGACCATATCCCCCGCGCTTACGATATTTCTTTTAATTTGTAATGATTTTGTTGTTGGCGTTCTTGATCTTAAAATTAAGAAATGCATGTTATATCAAAGAAATAATGTTTACTTTTGTTTGGTGTAGCCGAGTACATAGCCCCCAGGCGTTTGTACCATGGACTTCATAAGACAGCAGGGGCAGCAACATGCATCACATCGATGGGGGCGTACTACCTGCAATATTTCTTCACTTTCTGCATTCTGTATCGACATACGAAAAGAACGGGCGGGGCCGCACCAACATCGGCTGCAACAAGTTGTTTCTGAATGGGTGGAGGGGGAGAGGAACATACATAAATATATACATACATAGATACATACGGATATACATGCATAGGCTACAAAGGGACAATCGACATACGGTTTAAAGAGTTAACATGATTTTTGAGAAATCAATTCTAGGGAAATTTCAATACATGAATTAAAATCGACGTTTACTGCCCCCCCCCCCCACCAAAAATGGGTAAAAATGTGAAAGAAAAGAAGAATCGAGGACTGGTGACCTTTTTAAAATTACCTTTTTGCTTGTCAAGGATATTTTCACATGCTCCCCACCCCCCCCCCCCCCTCCGCTGATTAAAATTTATAAGCGAAAGTTAGTATTACACTTCGAATGTTCAAACCTTCAAAAGCATTGAGTAACACGTCTCCCTCTCTTGTTACTAAGTGGTAGGCATTACTCCCGGTACAGCTCGAACCTGCAAGGCGAAACAATCAAAGACAGATTTACAGTGTTGACCATGAAGTTGGAATATTATTTTCTTTATCTTGAAATGTTATTTTGAGTTATTTTTGATAGATAAAACTTCTTCTGAGAATTTAAGTGATCAATATGAAGAGTCATAGAGATTGATCAATCAAGCTATCTATCAAAGATAAACCATATTGTCACATTCAATGTTTTAATGAAAAGGGATAAAAACAAAATTATTCACCTCTAGGCCTATTGGCAACAGTGTTTACGAAATTGTATGATTTTCCATAAATGTTAGTTTGACTTCTAATCTATGCAAGTATATTGAATGATGGAGTAAATCTTTTAGGTCTATGCATAATTATAGTAATTTAGAACGTTGCTTCCATTATGTACACAAACGTCCTGTAAAATTTGAAGAAGAAAACAAAATTCACGTTTTTTCCCCGTTGAAATCATGGACGTGTAGATGAGGTCTATGCAGCAACAAAATAATCATCAACTGTTTGACCTAAATAAAGTATCACGAAATTCTTCCCCTATTTTTCTGTAAATTGTTATTTTGTTGATGAACAGACCTATATACAGATTTAAATGAATCATTATGCATTTGCATGTTATGGGGCCACATATGAAGCTTTAATCATACGATCGCTCACAGGGATATATTTTAATGAATCTGTGTGGGTTTGTTCCATGCTTTATTTATTTTAACACAGCATTATATTGGTCACTGAAATAAACACAAAAGCCAGAAACAACGAATTGGTTTTGTGTCCTCTCCTGCAGTAAAGTAGTGGTTGTAATACATGCAAAGCTAGCGTATTCGATCCCCGTGGAGATAACCGCATTAAACATTGCAATGGGTTTTAATACTGTTGAAACGCTTTCAATCAAATAAAGTGTCCGTTGCTAGTCAACGCGATGTTTTGCTTGTCAAATATTCATGCTCCCAAGAACACCGCAGCTAGAAACGCATTGTAAACTTGGCCTGTGCATGCAATACTCGTAGAAGGCTATGTTTATTTTCGCTAAATGACAAATGAAATCTACGCCCAAGGTTCAGTCGTGTACATGAAATAATACAGAGAAAAGTGACTTCGTATGAAATCGTCTGGAAATCATCTCCATTGAATATGAACTTGTGAAGGTTGTAATAATACGATAAAATGTTCAGTTTTTACTAGTGACCTTTCTGTCTTAATTGATTGGCGATTCACTAAATTGAGATTGTCACAATTGTCCTTTGGCAAGGCATTAATCTAATTTTGTCACCCCATACCAAGGAGAGAAATGGACCTGGTAGGATGATGAAAGCCCTCATGGTGACCTTATGGTAGGAATACTCCTTAGGGAGTGGAGATGGTGCACAATGTGTTTAAATGAATTTGATGACCGGGGTAATGATATCTGCTAGGCGGTTAGAGACTGCATTTCGCTTTATATATTAAGCGTTATATAAATCCGGATTATTATTACCATATTTTCCTTTACTCAAAATTCACAGTATGACAAGCACTGAAAGGGTTTAGATATTAACATGTTGAGGTTTAAAAAACACATTTTGTGGAATAAAGAAATCAATAACAAAATGTGAGTTGAGTGGTGTCAATGTAAGAGATTTCCACATTTGTTAATGGGTTTAGAAATAATGTATCTTAGCCAAAATACTCATTTTGTTTTTTTGATTGACAATTTTTTTGGATTGTTTTCCTTCGATCAATGCAACCATTGCAATCCTGATAATCAACTGGCTCGTTATCAATATATTAATGAATAGAGGATTGATTAATAAAGTCAAGATCAATGATACACCTATATCCAGAAATTTTAGATGCCCCACTGCTATATACTTTATTTGAATACAAAAATACAAGAGTTATTTAAATTTTCTCAGTGCGCCTGCAAACTAGGGGATGATGCATACACTAGATTTTGCACCAAGATGGAAACATAACTAAAACAATTTATAAAGTTTCGATTTTTAGGACAACTACCACCTGGAAAACAAGCCCTAGTATACTTTGGATAAGGACCGCTTGGAAAGCTATTCATATGGAAATAACCTTCGAAAGACTATCCTTAGTATAAGGTAAATCATCGCATCCCTATCAACAACACGAAAATGGAAATGATCACTACGGGATTCTTTTGGAAGGGAGTAGTTTTTTTTAATTTTTTATATAGGGTACAAAATTGTAATTGTCCCCGAGGATATTTGTCACGGGGGGGGGGGGTGTAGTTGTTCAGGGTATACCCAGACGTTGTGTGTCCGGACATTTGATTTAATATGCTAATTTGAAGAAGTTTACAAGCAATATTTCATAAATCTTTCAATAGTTATGTTAAACAATATTATTTCATATTACAAAGGATAAAAATTGATGATGGTTAGTGCAAAAGTAGTGTTTTTTTTGTAAAGCATCTGGACACACAAACTCCATCATACTTGTCCTGAAGTAGTTGTCCGGGGGCATTGAATTGTCCGTATACCCAGGTTGTACCTTACCAATTGTTTCCAATGTCTGTCTGATGTTAATCTCATCGACACCCTGAAGATCCTGTAGGGCCCTCTGGATTCTGCGATTGTGATTAGATGCAGAACCCTCCTTGGAAGAAGAAGAAGGTGTAGCCCAGTTACGTAACTCAATCGAATCCGCATCTCCGTGCGGCTGCTTCGTAACGATAGCTTTGCGCCTTCCATTTGTTGTTTCATCCATTTTAATAAAGATTCCTTTGCAGATTATATGATGATAGATTAGTAAGTACCGGGACAAATAAAAGATAGATACAGCTCGGAAGATCGAAAGGTCAATGATGAAATATACGAAAAGGGATCATGTTAGACAGCGAAAGGGGGAGATAGGTAGACTAGTAGATAAATAGATTGATAGATAGCGGGATAGATACGTAGGTAAGAAAGAAGATATATATATATATATATATATATATATATATATACAATATGTAGATATAGATTGACGAATAGAGAAGGGTGAAAGATAACCAGATTATCTAGAGAAGGAGAGGAAGGGAGAGGGAATGAGAGAAGTAGATTGAGAAAATGAGAGAGTTGTAGCGAATAGGGAGGGGGAGCGAAATGATACAAAATAGTTATATTAAAATAAAAGTCCCGGTGATCACTTTGAGTCCGATAATTCTATACTTTAGTTGTCCAGCATTTCGTCGTCATTCACCATTCCGTTCCGCCATAATTATAGCAAGTTATTAAATGTTAATGCACCTAAGTCTTCGCGCAAAGTCACTGTAACAGTAATTGGGTCATGGTAATTCACGTGCACTAGAAATGTCAGTAATCCTTCGATGAAAGTTATTCCAAAGTAGATTTCCGTTAGATGTTCTCATGCATAATTTCATCCCAAAATATGCAAGCTTCTACTCCAGCTGAATATAAGAATTAAGACTAGGCTATCTCAATAACTTTATTAGGAAGGATGAGATTTGCTGGGAGCTTTGATCGCAGTATTATAGTGGATGTTGCTGGGTGCGTTCCTTGCCTAAAGCGTCGTTGCTAAAAACATCTCGAACTATGCAAATCATAAACTATTGTCAAGCTTGTTTGCTTGTCATCAAGATAAATTTGAGGAGAGGTCCTGCGCTCATAGCATTCTTCGCGTACGCGTCATGTGGTTACCTCGGTTATTGGCTGAATGCTTGAAGGAATGTGAGCAAGGTAAATATTGAACTAAAAAATAGATCAAAACACTTAGCTAGTAACGCATATGGGTAAACTAGTATGTGCATCACGTAAAGGATTGGACGAATAGCCTTTAAAAAATATTTCATTGAAAGAATGAGAAGCATGTTGAAGATAGCGATGATACATAGATTATGTGAATGGGGGAAATTACATGTAATCAAACGAACAATATGATTAATCACGCCAGACAATGAAACCAAATGAAATAAAAGATTTTAAAAAGAAAACAAGAAACAAGTGAGAAAGGAAAGAGAAAGATACACAGAGATGCCTCTTTATCCTCTACAAAACTAAACATTATTCATAATCATTTACATAATCGGGCAATGGTACTGGGTGTGCATAAGAACACAGAATAACCGTTACTTTTGGACATTTATCACGTTACACCTCTGTGACTTTAACAGATCATAATTATCAATAATCAGTGGTAATGAAATATAGGTCATCAGTACGCACGTATAGACGAATAGGAGAATAGCAGATAAATCAAGTTTGCAGTACATGTACGCAATCAATAGGAACGTGAAGATTTCTTTCGTTGGCCTATGAAGAGGATGACACAGTTAACGATTTTAGGGGATTTCCCCGGGTCATTGCACTTTTGTCCCTCAAAATTATCATGACGCGCGAAGATAGTACTGTGCGCGGTGACGTAACAATAGGCGCACATGTTACTTAGTGACAGACATGAACGCGCAATGAATGTAAACAAAGCGGTTTGACTCGGCACGACAAATACAACGTGAGTGAGAACACTGATCAAGCAAGGAGGTGGATGAAATCTAAGAATATTATCCCAAGAACTGTCGATTTGTTCTTTTGAAGAACATTATCATGGGAGTAGGACAAAGCAGAATCGGACCCAAGATTCCTGAAAGTGACGACATCAGCTTTAAGGTAGGCTGTCTTGACCTTTTTTTCTTCGTAGGACTAGGAATGATTGATGACAATGTCCATGCATGGTATTCGAATCGAGGAATGGTGTTGATGGTTGATGGAGATGAAGTTGGTAGATCTAGGTCTAGGAAGATGATGATGATGATGATGATGATGGTAGTGATAATGAACAAACAATTGTTATAGGGATGGTGATAACATAAAAATATCCCCTGTAAAAGGCTGTAACTGTAGTGTAAGGGCATAGTAAAATCGTCGACGTAAGTCTAGATCTAAATCTAGATCATGATTTTAGGCCTTTACTTATTTTACTTTAATACACGATGTTGTAGGTCTAAGCCTGTTCATCGATCCAGGATTCTTCCATGGTTACTGCTATTTGTAGAGGGAGGAGATTATGTAGGCAACAGTGACAGTTTTATTTTTATTAAGCATACGGACACAAAATAACGCATCAATAAGATATGGTGACGATGGTGGTGATGATAATGATGATTATGATGATGATTTTGATAATGATAAGGATGACGCTAGTGATTAGGGGGATTCCAGAAATGTCTGTACGACGTGCATAGAATCGCCCATAAGATGATGAAGTCAGTTGTGATAACGATTATTCTGATAGTAGGCACAGAGTAAATTTGGAGAAGGGTCTACTCTAGCAGATTCTAATTATCATGCTCAGACATTAGTGTTGGTACATGACACAACTTCAACCTTCCGGAATCCAGTTGGGTCGTCCCCTCGCATTTCAAAACTGTCGGCATAGACCCTAGTCTACACAATACTAATAAAATAACTTCTTTTTTTTTTGTCTGATGAGCATCGATCTTTTTCCTTACAATAATTGGAGTACATTTTCAATCTTTGTAAACAGAGTTGTGAGGAGAAGCCGAGCCACAAGAAGAAGCCAGGCTTGATGCGTTTCATAGTCGATGCGATCTTGGGCGAAGTTTCACCGTCACCAGAAGAGCTAGGATTTGCGCGATTCTCAGAATCACCAGAGAGTGGTGCCGACTTTGAAATCGAAGAGGCGTTCGTAGACGCCCCGCTACCGGCTGCTCGTCATGGGAAAGAAGCCAAGTCCGAGAGAAAAGTCACACCGGGAAGAGCGAGGGCAAAGAGGAGGAGTGTCACTTCGAAAAGTTCGAAGTATAACACAAACCAAAGCGTTCACTTCATCGATAAACTATCTTCCTCCTCATCATCATCATCGCAAGGAGAGGTACAAAAGAAAAATTCTGTCAAGGATGAAACGGACGCCACCAGACTAGACGCTACTCCTGCATCCAAGGTGTCTGATGAAGGTATAGAGATGCACGTCCCATCGTCGCATGGAAGAGGTGACAGTGCAACATCGGAGCCTAAAGATCCCAAGGTTGGTAACAGGTGTCCCAATCAAGACATCGAAGCTCCCACGACACTGTCACTGGTCAAACCGTGCAGTTCACAGAAGAACTACCATGACTATAACAGTGAAAATATTCCTTTGGCAGATACACAAGGGACTACGGCTCGTTCTATAATTCAGAAAATACTTAAACTCTCTGCTGTTGGATCAGACAAACTTAATCATGAGAAAGGTGGAGGAGAAGCAAAATTGAACGCCGGAAAGGATCCTTACACCCTCGCCGTCAAAGAGAAGGGAGGGTTAAATGATGCTGAAAACGGGTTAACTGATGGTGAAAACGAAGATACACATGCGACAACGGCTCTTTCTACAATTAAGAAAATACTTAAACTTTCTGCTGTTGGATCAGACAAACTTAATCGTGAGAAAGATGGAGGAGAAGCGAAATTGAACGCCGGAAAGGATCCCAACACCCTCGCCGTCAAAGAGAATGGAGGGTTAACTTGTGCTAACATCAAATCAGAACGCCCTTTAATATCAATGCCTACAACCACGAATACAGCATCGACAACAGATAGCCAGAAACCTTTGCCAATTTTGAAAGAAGCTCAAGGAATCCAAGACGACAAGACCAAGACCAAGTCAAAGCTTGAAAAGAAACGTGTTGATATGTTCACAGTAGAAAAAAGAGCTACTTTAACCAAAGAAGAGGCTCCTGATTTAATCAGTTTTCAGAGCAACAATAAAGTACAAATTTCTTCGTCAGGTAGACATAGAACAACGGCTCTTTCTACAATTCAGAAAATGATTGAACTTACTGCTGTTGGGTCAGACAGAGTCACCAATGTCAAAGATCGAGAAGAAGCAAAATTGAAAGTCGGGAAGGATGCTACTACCCTTGCTGTCAAGGATGAACCCACACGAGGATTGACAGCTTCTGACAATAAGAGTTCTAACATCAAGTCAAATCGTCCTGTGGTATCAAATGGGGAGTTACAGGATGCACCGACTGTCTCACCATCAACAAATAACAAGAAGCATTTTACAATCTTCAAACGACCCCAGGGAATCCCTAGGAGGAATCCACGGAACCTGCTAGAAAAGAAACGTGTGGACATGTTAACAGGAGAAAAGACAAAGGACCCCACAAGTATCGGAGAGGCATCCTATATGAGAACTGCTGGCAGCAAACAGCCGACTAGAAAGGGAAAGGCTCTGCAAAAGCGAACTACTCGAATTTTTGCCCCTTCTCTACCACCATTCACAGCTACTGCTCACCAAGACATAATCTACCCGCATAGAGTCATGATGAAAACAGTGACTGCCGAATCAAAGGTTGGACCTTTAGATGCGGTGATAAAAAGACCGGGCCAGCCAGTCATAAATAGCAAGCCAGTGACACCAAGGGTTAGCCAAGAAGGCAAGTCACTCTGTGATCCAGATAGCAAAGTGGACAACGTGGGAAAGAAAGAGATCCAAGAGGTTTTGCAAAAGACAAAAGTTCAAAAAGCCCGAATGGTAGTTCAGAAAGAAACCCGAAGTGTAGCTGAATTGGAAGAGAAACTTGAAGAAGCGAGGAAAGAACTCGATAAAATTGAGAAGTGCATGTACTCCGGATCAAATCTAGACAAGCGCACCAAAGTTACAAATGTGGCCAACAATCAGGTACAAGTAGGAACGGTGAAGGAGAAACCATTGACTCTTGCAACTTTGAAAGCTACGAAAGGTGACAAATCTGAAGGAAAAGTGAAGGAGAAGCCACTTCTCTGTCCAGTTTTTGACAACGCTGTCCCGAGATCTGCAGTTTTCAAAGGCAAGAAGGTAGGCACTGCCAGTACATCAGACAGAAACCCTGTTCAGCATAACGAGTCCAAAGGCGTTCTGAAATCTCCCTCCATAGATGGAGTAAAGAGGACAGACGGGGCACTTTGTAAAGGGCAAGGACCAG